CATTGACCATTATTATTATTATCAACTAGACGATGTTAGCGACGAATATTACTGTGTATGATTATGTACTGTGTATGATATAACCTTTTCACATCACTTATTATTTATGAATCACAGAACACAGTCTCGTAAGATGCTAATAATAACTATAAAGCACAAGTGTGTACTTTTTAATTTTAATCAAATAATACTAATAGCTTGACTATTATAACAGCAGCAGAAGATTACACACTACAAGCTAAGCTAGCTATGACTATGTATTATAATGTAACTACATAATGAGTGTCCACAATGAGAGAAGGCTTAAGTCTGTTACTCCACATTTAAGATCCTAATAGTGTTTGTATTAGCTGGTCCAGGCCTCCAACCACTAAGAGCAATAATGGTTGAGCCTTTCTGTATGAACCCTTTCTTTTTCCCCCACTCAATGGCGTAAAGGAACCTCTTCTCCATATCGTCTGCCCAGTCTGATTTATCCTTTGGATGAGGGAAGACCAGTGGATGTATGCCACGATGGAGATGGCACTATGAGGAAAAAATAAACTTTAATAGTATACATTGGATGAACGTATCACATTCATGCATGCTTTAAAATATTCATTAGGTTTAAGTATACCTTGGCCATTAAGACATTGTTAAAAATGTAATAAAGGAATTGAGTCACTATGAGACACAATTACCCTATGTACTCAACCATTTAATCATCAAACCAAGATAAAGCACTTATACAGTTACCCACAGCACAACCACAGGCTCTCAAGCCTAAAGACTGACACACTCTCATAAAACACATCCTGAGAAGTATAATAAGGACATGGTGTCCTCCACCACAATAGAGAGAACCACATCTTAAAAATACTTTAAAATTTAATTACAATGAACAATCCTGATAATCATGGGAGTGTGATACATGTTAGTTTATTTGATCACTATGGTCACACATCATGTAATGATCAAGTTACTTTGCTTCTGTAAGGGCTCTATTGGCTGAAGAATATACTGTATGTTTATACTATGAAACTAGATCAAACATCTGTAATTAATTTATTGTATGCTATCGCCGTCTCTTGTAAAACCACTGTGAAGAATAATAATATTACAACAAAAAAGTACCTACGTCTGCTACTGCAGTCATTCAAATCACGCCAGAGGCCACACAAGTACATGTACATGATATTGTACTGTGCATGTACATGATATTGTACTGTGCATGTAGGCACTTACAATGTGAGCGACTTCTTTATCTCTAGTGACTGAAATGATGGGGCAATGAGGACGGAAATGAGACAAATTGAATGCAGTCCTTTAGAAATAGAATGCACGATTAATAATAACAATAATAACAATAACAACAATAATAATAACAATAATAATAACAAATACTAGACACATATAATGACATCATAATAGATTTGGCAGGAGAGGAGTGTGATTTTCTTTTACTAAGCATTTCTGGCAGAGATATCGATATGTTTTTTTTATAATCTGATTTTTAGACGGAAATGTATATAAGGAATATGATATAATAATTATACGTCATCAAGTGATCGAATGTGTGTAGTCTGAAGTACACACTGACACAGTAGCACAAGAACTCAATGGGCCGTGACTGCATTAGGTCATCAAGAAATACAATATGACTATATTACCTTCCTGTAGTAGTCAGACATATGATGGCTGCTGCACTCTGAGAGAAAGCTGCATCAACTGCTGCAATAGCAGTGGTGGTCAGTGTCTCGGTTGGTTTGGGAGTCAAGAGACGTAACTCATCAAAAACCACACGATGGAACATTGCAGACTCGGCCTCGCAGCAAATCCTGTGCATTATGTCAACTGCTTCAACTGGATACTTACCTGCAGGGATGACAAAAACAAATAATACAAAATTTGTAAATAATTTGTTTAAACAATGACATAATTATGTTAGCTCCTGCTGGCCTGACAATATTAAAAAATAACCCCATCCTCTTGCTGCTGCTGCTGGCAAATACAAATTTCCTGGAACTCTATACAAATACAATATAACAATGCCAAACTTAATAGAGAATATTGTTTGATCTTCTAATAGATATTGATTTATACCAATTTCCTCAAGCGTGCACGCAGCAGTAAACAATGATAATCTGATAGCCCTCATCAGTGTCATAATAAAAGCAAAGGGCATAAAATTTATCTTTCATTTTGGATCATCAATACACATTGTCTATACTAGCTCATTCTTAATAATAAATTATAATAAACAGTATTATCATTGCTATCAATGATAATAATCAAGTGTGTGTTGCTGGTTTCCCATACCTTTAGCTGTTTCCCCTGACAACATCACACAATCTGCTCCGTCGAGAACAGCATTTGCAACATCACTTGTTTCTGCTCTTGTAGGGCGTGGCTTTGATACCATACTCTCTAACATCTAGAGAGAAAGAAAGAGGGACAGAGACAGAGAAAGAAAAAGACAGAGAGAAAGAGAATAGAAAAGGGTTTAATAATTCAAGAGCTGTAGGTCAAAAAGGACAAACACTGACAACTCAAAAAAATCCCTCAAGACCATTATCACAACCAAAACACGATCATAGCTATAATACCATTACTATAATTATACTATAATATTATCATTAGTACAACCCATGATCAAACAGATTAGTCTATCATTATTATTATTAATATTACTATTTTAATAGCATTAAGTTCATTTACCTGAGTTGCAACAATAACAGGCTTGCCAATCCTGTTGCAGCGACCAGTCATCATCTTTTGTGCAAGGAAAACTTTCTCTGCCGGTATTTCAATACCGAGATCACCTCTGGCCACCATAATACCGTCACTGGCTTTAGCAATCTCATTAAAATTAAGCACACCCTCTTCGCTCTCAATCTGGAGAGAGACAGATACAATGTAAGTGGAGGGAGAGAGAGAGAAAGCTATAAAATTATACTAAACAAGCTAAACAGGGTTTCCTACAAAGCATATGCTTCATGAGCTGACAAGCACTACAATACAGTACGTGGCATTTGGAGAAACTTTTAAAATTCATAAAAAATCCAAACTTGATCGAAATGAGCTCAAAGTTGATACACTGCTTAAGGACATGTATAAAATTATAAAAATAGTTTTACATTCAAAATAGAGCTATGGTCATGGCAAAAAGGCAGTGGATATAAGAGACAAAATGCTAGAATTCATCTCATACATTATATCACTGCACAATGAAGTTTTGTTCACGCAAGTCGTGTGTGATATTTTGTGTACCTTTGAAATGATTTTAATGTTCTTTCCTTTCTCTCCTAACTCAGCTCTCACGTCGTGGACATCTTGAGCTTTACGAATGAAAGAAGCAAAGACCATATCAACCTTGTTCTCTACCCCAAAAGCAAGATCCTACAATAGGTATACCAACAATAATAATGATACGAATAATTAAAAAATATGATGGTAGTAATGTAATACTTAAGGCAATATGTTTGACCTTCTTGTCTTTATCTGAAAGAGCTGGCAGATCGACTACAATCCCGGGAAGATTAACGCCTTTCCTTGAGCCCAAATTCCCACCATTTTGAACAACTATATAATCAATTATTATACAGTAAGAGAGGGATCAGTATATACACAGGGCACAAACTAACCAGTTATGAGTGTAGTGTCAGTTTTATCAGTGACTTTAAGTGAAATAAGACCATCGTCAACAAATACTATCTCACCACGTTTGACAACCTACAAAATTTATGCATGTATTTCATTCCCTCCCTCTCTCTCTCTCTCTCTTACTTTAATAATGTTTTTATAGTCCACATAGATGAGGGAACCAGTTCCACAGTCCTTATACTTTTCATCTATGGACAATGTCAGCACGTCACCAGTTTTGAGGCTAATCTCTGCAGACCCACCCTGCATATATAGTACACAATAATAATTAAATAATCGCCTCTCTTTGTATATGAATATTAAATTACATGCAACTCACTCCTTCTAGGAGCCCAGTCCTTATTTCAGGCCCTTTAGTGTCAAGAGCAATAGCAATATACTTATCAGGCATCTCTTTATTAGCTGCACGGACATTCTCAATAGTTTGCTTGTGATACTAAGAAGAGAGGAAGTTAGAGATACAATTTAAACAAAATTTTATTTGGAATTAAGCTTACTGCATGCTCTCCGTGTGAGAAATTCAAGCGAGCAATACACATCCCTGCATCAATGAGCTTTTTCATGACACTCACCGACTGGCTAGCAGGACCTACATGTACATGTAAATCAAAAACATTACGTCGTGATTATGCAAACATCCTATAATGATCATAAATAATAAACAATGCTGCACGTACATATAACCATATTCACCTCTGAAGCATGCACAAAGCAAGGGGGGTCCACTAATATTGTGATATTCATTACACATTCACGGGACAAGCTGTAAATTATTTGTTTTATGACACTTTAAAAAATCCTATCAATTATATTTATGGCATTTGCTTTTTTTGCAATTGAATTTAATTTGCCTTTCTTAATTGAATCAGAATCAGCTCAAGCTTTCTACTTAGGGGTATCAATATAGCTAGTAAAGTTTTGGAAACAATTTTGGAAAAAAGCATGTGAAGTGTGAAGAATATCAATACTATCGAGACGTACTATGGCGTACATGTACAAATGTACATGCTATACAAAAATACAAAGAGGCTTTCATGGACTTGTCTTTAGACAAAAGAGTCAAACGAAACAGTTTAAGATAATTTTAAGCTATTCATCTTTACCCACCACAAACGCATATCATACGTCATGACAAGAGATCAAAGCTTAATTATAAAATACAATATATCTAACATATAAAACACATGTGTTGTACGTGTGTGTGTGTGGTTGAAATAGGTTAGTTTCTCACCAATAGTGCAGATGATTCCAGTGTTTCTCAAGGTGTGAGGATGAGTGAACATATCCAACAGGCAGAGATGCTCCAAGTGAGTGTTGGCAAGTTGTGCTTCGGAATGAGGGGCATCGTGTTCACCCTGGCTACTAGCTGAAGACCCAACGCGAGATCTCTTACCACTTCCACTGGTAGGTGCAGCTGGCTGTGCTTCCGAACTGTCCGCCATTTTCAAGCTAACAGGGATCCGGGATGCGTGGGTGTGTCTGTTATCACTTCTTCAGCACCTCCCATTTTCAGTTTGCTAGCTAGGGCGTGGCTGGGAGTTGCAATATAATAATGGATGAAGAAACTGCTCTTTCCAAGACAGGAGCCACAGATTTCCTCATCTCTCATCTCTTAAGTGCAGATCAGCATGGAATAGTAGTTGCATCTTATTGTAGAGTAGCAGGCCATCCCTTCCCAAGCAAGCTTTATGCTGTAAAATTGATATTCAATTTCACAGATGATGACTACTCATCTTCAGTCCTTTCCAACCATTTTGAGAACGAGTGGCTCCTTCTTTCTAGCCTCCCTCCACATCCCCAAATAATAAAGTACTGGTGTCAATTTGTTTCTGTCATACCAATGGAATTTGTGGAGTGCTGTCCTCAAGAAGTTTGCAAGAGCTTTCCAAAAGACAAGCACTTTACTAGGAAAGGACAGTTCATTGTTTTGGATTATCATCCACAAACATTGCAAGAGTTCTTAACAAAGGAAGAGAACAAACCGGTCGACTTTAAAATAATCCTATCTATTAGTTCACAGATACTTTCTGCAGCCAGTTATCTGGAGTCTAACATGATCTGTCATTTGGATTTAAAGCTTGCTAACTGTCTTGTCAGAGGAGAAGAAGAAGACAATCCTCACATTGTATTGTGTGATTTTGGTAGTGCAGTGCAGTTCTCAGACTCAACAATGAGCACCCAATGGTGTCATGGTTTGAGTCTGGGTGGTAATCGAGCTCACCTGTGCCCAGAATTACTCTCACAGTATTACAGCTATAAAACATCAACGTCACGCTTGCAACAGCCTTCAGCAGCACCCATATCACTGGCACAAAGGCTATTATGCTATAAAGGACAGCCCTCATTTGCAGTTGGTGTGCTGTTATATGAAGTGGGCTCATGTGGAGAGCATCCATTACCTGATTATCCATTGAACTACATGAAAGAAGGAGTAGTGACTTACGGTGAATCTGATATAGCTGAATTACCTGGTGCCTATTGTCACCAGCAGTATTTTGATTTATTGAAATCTCTAATAGCTTGTGATCCTAAACAAAGACCTAATTTAGAGCATACACTAGATACAATATGCAAAATAAAGGAGGACATAGAAAACCAAGAAATAACAGGTAATTTAACAGGACAGGAAGAGCTTAAAAAGCAACTTATAAGAGTAACAATAGAAAGGGACATTGCAAAGGTATAGGAACACGGACACAAAATAATAAATTATACTTTTATATAGTCACAGTCTGCCACCCTGGAGTCTGAGAGAGACAGTGCACTGGAAAAGATTAAAGCAATGGCTAATCAATGTGAAACTGCAGCAACAGAGCTTGAACAACTTGCACAACAATTTAAATCAATGAAAGAAGAGCTACTGGCGGTAAATATGCTGACAAGGAACATGTTATGTTAGTTTGATAATGTATAGGTTAAGCTTGAGCGTGATGCTGCAATCCAAGCCAGTGAGGAATTGTTTGAAGCTTATGAGCTACTCCAAAAAGAACTGGAACTAGTATCAAGAGAACGAGACCTTGCAAGAGATCAGGTCAGGGTTTCCCATAGGATGATGGCATAATACTCTTGCTCCAAAAGCCATTTAGTCTGGGAAAGCCAGAAAAATATACATGTACTATTATAGTGCTTGTCACAGCATGCTTTGTGGGACACCCTGGATCAGGTATCAAAAATCATTATTAAAATTGTTCCTATTATAGGTTAGCAAGATGAGACATTTGTGCTCTGCTGTGCAAACAAATGAAGAAATAAAGTGAGTTGGATTTACCAGTATTGAGTTGTGCTAATGATTGCTTTAGAGAATGTATTAATTGTCAGACATTTTATCATGTTGAAGAAAACACAGAGGACTCATGTCAATGGCATCCAGGAGTAAGCCAAATTATAATTACCTTTATCTATTGTTATTAACTACTTTTATAATGCTGCATCTTATAAATCTTCTCCCATCATTTAGAAATTTGTAAGTTGTCATAATTATTGTGCCTTAAGTAATAAGCAATTGTGTAATTTTCTTTAGTTGGTAAGTCCAATAAGGAATTTGTTGTTCACTTAATGTTTTATTTTCATTTTTTTCTTAACACATCATCACGGATCCAATAGTTTGTAAGTCTTACAATGCATTCTTGTTATCATTAATTTTTTAAATTTTCTCTTCCAATAGAATGTAAGTCACAACTCCAACACCTATTATCAATTTATTACTATTATTATTATAAAACTATAGCGTTGGAGCTGTTGCTATAAGAGAGATGAAAACATTCCAGGCTGCAAGAAATCATTACATTATCATAATACAACATAAATAGATAGTTACTACTGGACTGACGGATGAGGATAAATGAGTGTGTACAAGTGTGAGAGTGGACAGAGTTGCAATGCTTGTGTGTGTATCTATGAAATATAATTAAAGCACAATTGTAATACTTGTGCTATATATATTATATACATGCATCATAGTTCTGGTACCAACTGATCATCATCATCTGAGGAATAATGCTGGCCACCACTGGATAGCTCAGCATAATTTACTCGCCCACGCAGGGCAGAGCGTCTACTTCTCCTAACTATTGACTGGAAAAAATTAGTAAAGTTAATAAGTAATTAGTGTCAATGTTATACCTCATCTTCCCTGTCACCCGAATCTGTTTCTAATATAATATTGTCCTTTTTACTGGGATTTTCTTCATCAACCTATACTCAGTATGCAAAAATGAAAGAGTGAAATCTACTAGTTTGAACAATAATACAACCTTTCTCTTTTTGATATCGACTCCACTTTGGTCTTGAACACAATTATTCTCATCAGTCACTGTCTTACTACTAACATCCTTATCACATACAAAGAGACCCTTGATTTTATTGTAGACTTCATTAGCTTTGCTACGCACTCTACTGTTACCTTTATACCTACGAACCTATTAATTGAACATATACACAGGATTCATTAATTGGTAATGTAGTAATGCTAAAAGTGGTATAATGTATAATGATACCTTTCTTAATGTAACAACCAGGTCTTTGACTTGAACAATGTCAGAAGCAGAGAAATGATAGTCCATTAGACCACGTAGGTTCTTCAAAGCCTTCTGTGGTTCCTATGTGTGCATGTACACTTCAAAATGAATGACACTCTGTATTTGTGTACTTACAGCAGATCCAACAATTAAAGATACTTTTAAATTGTAGTTGTATGCTTGAAGAGCTTCAACAGTAAGCATGGCTATTAAAATAGTAAAAGTACATGTACATACAAAAGAACACACACAGACTTACAATCGGATATTGGTCTTTGAGGTGGAGGTTTGACTTTCTGCCTTTTAGTACTACATGTATAAAATTATTATAAAAACCTTTAAAGCCATAATAATGCACCTGGAGTCTTCAGTTGTCTTTTCAGTAGCTGCTGGCTTTGTTTTCTTTGCTGTTGTATCAGATTGCTTGCCACCTTGAAGATCAACCGCAGGATTGCTAGCAGAACTTGCTTTGTCTTCAGCCTCAAGAGGAATATTTGTAACTGCCTCTTGGACTGATTCATCTTTGCTGTTAGACGATCCTTTGTCTGCTGTTTTCATACCATCATTTTGACTTACTGGATCCTTGTTTTCTGTAACAGTGTTATTTTTCCCTCTAGTATTATTATCTATGGAATCATTAATCTCCATTGTATCACTAGACTGTATAAAGGGAGCATTTGCTGCTGCTGGAGGCAGTGATATTTCTATATTACTAATCTCTTCTTTTGCTGTTTCAATTAATACTTGCTCTTCCATTTTAGCTCTATCTTTTGAATTCTCTTCCTCTCCAAGACCTCCTGATATTTTAACTTGTGCTAGCTCAATTGTAATTGCAGCTTCTTCTTCAGTCACTGTGGTCTCAGGGTCCACTGTCATTGCTTCTTCTACTGTCATTGGTTTCTCTACTGCTGGTGCTTCTTCCATGGCCATTGCTTCATCCACTGTCATTGGTTTCTCTACTGTCATTGCTTCTTCTACAACCATGGCTGCTTCCACTGTCTTTTCTCCCGATGGAATCTCAGCTAGTATGTTAGGCTTTACCTCTTCAACCATAAAAACCTCTTCTGTTATTACCTCTGTCTCTTCCAATATTCTTTCTTCTGTCTTTTCTCCTACTTCCACTGGACTCTCTTCTACAGCTATTTCCTCTGTATTCACTTCCACTGCCATCATTTCTTCTACATTATCTTCCAGCCCCATTTCCTCAGTTTTTTCCCCTACTCCCATCGGTTCCCTTATCTCGACTGTAAGATTCATTTCTTCTATTTTTTCTTCAACTGTCATTGTTGTTGTTCTTACTGGTCGTTCTTCAATGGGTTTCTCTACATTTGAGATTAATACTTTTATTTCTATTTTGGGTTTCTTGTCCTCGGCAATCGTTTCCTCTACAATATCTGTCTGTGTTTCTGCCATTTCTTCAATCGATATCTCTAATCTCTCAACAGCCATTCCTGCTTTAATGGAGTCATCTTCTCTTGATATTCCTACTACCTCTTCTCCATTAGAACTATGACTATTGATGGCTTCATTTGTCCCAGCAGTACTTGCAACTTCATCACAAGGTTTTTCTTGTGCTGTTACCACTGCTTCCATTTCATGATCTTTGTCTTTCATCAGCTCAGCAAGGTCACTATTCTCATTCGTTCTTGCATTTTCATTGTCACTAATAATCACTTCTTCTTCTTCTTCAGTCGCAACAGTGGGCCTACATTAAAATATTTTAGATTATGATTTCCAAATACATTTAACATTTTATAGTTGCTCAAAATCTGACCAAAGACAATGCACTAAAGTTTGAGCTGATTCCAAAAAAAAATTCTCGAGTTATGACCATTTAAAAAAACAGGCCAATTTTTGGAGAATAACTAAGGGTATAATTAGTAATGCGGTAGCGTTACTAAGTAAAATTCACCCCCAAACAAAATGGCTGCCACGACTTTTGCAGCCTTGCTATATAGCCCATGATTTTTTCCAAAAAATGGCTCTGAAATCACCTCCAATTTTTACTACATTTTCTGATACACATTGATGTCCTTATGCTATGTAGAAAGTTTGAGCTGATTCCAAGCTCAAATTTTTGAGTTATGACCATTTTTAAAAACGAGCCAATTTTTGAAAAGTACCCAAGGCTATAGCCCATGGTTTTTTCCAAAAAATGGCTCCGAAATCACCCCTAATTTTTATTACATTTTCAGATACATATTGATGCCCTTATGCTCTATAGAAAGTTTGAGCTGATTCTGACTTCAAATTTTCGAGTTATGACCATTTTTTAAAATGAGCCAAATTTTGAAAAATATCCAAGGCTATAGCCCATGGTTTTTTCCAAAAAATGGCTCCAAAATCACCCCTAATTTTTATTACATTTTCTGATACATATTGATGTCCTTATGCTCTATAGAAAGTTTGAGCTGTTTCTGACAAATGTTTGTTGAGTTACGGCCATTTTAAGAAAATGCCAAAATTTGAAAAATACCCAAGGCTATAGCCCATAGTTTTTTCCGAAAAATGGCTCCAAAATCACTCCCAATTTTTATTACATTTTCTGATACATATTGATGTCCTTATGCTATGTAGAACTAAGTTTGAGCTGATTCCGACTTCAATTTTTTGAGTTATGACCATTTTTAAAAAACGGCCAAATTTGAAAAATACCCAAGGCTATAACCAAGAGTATATAATATATAAAGAGAGTATCGAACGGCCCTATAGAAGACTACTGCATGACGGCGTATTTGCTCAAAGTCACAATCCGCATACTCCAGTATACTTACCATATCACGTGATCCACCATGTGGCAACATTATCTGGCCCTTAGCTTTTAAAAACTTGGCAATCTCTTCCAATACAAGAAAGGAACTTGAAAGAAGGCTGGAAAGATGAACTACTAAGGTAGTGCTGCTAGTATCCAGGAGTTTGTGCCCCAAGCACTTGCCAACTCGGGACAATGGCAACTCAATGTCTACGCGATAATTATATTCATTGATAAAGTATACTGGAGTATGCGGATTGTGACTTTGAGCAAATACGCCCTCATGCAGCAGCTTGTATAGGGCAGTTCGATACTCTCTTTAAGTATTATATACTCTTGCTATAACCCATAGTTTTTTCCAAAAATGGCTCCAAAACCTGTACACGGTCTTTGACCAAATTTAATCAAAACTGAAATTAAAAGAATTATCCATTTTTATTCTCTATCCTTATGTTTGAGCTGATTCCAATCAAAATTTAGATTTATTTAGATTCATTTAAATACCTCATGTCTGCTCTAGTTTCTACATGTGCAGGATCAAGATCCATAGAATCCTGCACAGCATCTGATACAGCCACTTCCTCATTTGACGTCAATTCTACTTTTATCTTATCAGAGAGTGGCGTCCTATTATTAATACGTTTACTTCTCCTAGTACTGACATTAGGAGAAGCTGCTGCTTTACTTGACGACTTTCTCTTAGCAGCTGATGATACTGGGATCTGTAAGGGATCTTCACTTGTATCTTCATTTTTATCGTCAATCGTAACTTCAGTTTTATCTTTGGGAGAGTTTTGAGGACGAGACTCATCTTGCAATAAAGGAACAGTTCCTGCTGTAGATGGTGAGTTCTGGCTAGTAGAAATGGCAGGGCTTGAAGAGCTACTCTTTTGAAGACGAACGGACCTTCTCGTAGCAATCGAACCAGATTGAGACACAGCCTCCTTATGACACATAAAAGAAAGGAGACATAACAAAGAGAATAGAGAAAGGAGATATTTCACAATAATAATTATTTTAAAAATACACACATACAAAAAGAAAAATATTAAGTCAAAACATACAGTTATCGAAGCATCAGGACATTCTTGTTTAGGAGTTATCGGCTCTGTCTTAATTTTTAAAATGTCTTCTTTCTTAGAGCTAGATTTCCGCTTATACTAAAATTAATGGTGTTAATGTGACATGATTACAAGTACACACATACACGTACCTTTCTTCCATTTTTCATAAATTTCTTCAAGAGTGCTCCGTCTCCCGATACCTGTAGGTCTGGGTCTTCTTCGATCTCCCACACTGCTTCGGAGAGCCCGGGTCTCTGCCTCTGGGAATTCTTACGAAACTTTTGCTGATACCTCTTGAAAGGAACTATGTCTTTGCTTGGCAGCCATGCACTAACATGTATGCAAATGCAGAATAATAAAAAATAACAATAAACTAGAATGTATATATACATTATTTTATTGTGATAGTACAATAATTATTATGTTATACTTGGATATAATAATAATAATGCACAAATACTCACACATTATGAGTTCCATAGAAAAATAAATAATAAGAGTTTGATGAAGGGCAATGCTGTCCTGATGGCTTTGGTAGTACCTAAATATACAAATAATTTATAGGTGTAGCATTATTTATAGTAGGAACTTACTCTGGCTGGCCAGTGAGGAAACCCTCTCATTTTAGCCCACACCAAGTCAGAGACCTCAAAGTCCTCTGAATCTTGTCGAGCAGCAGCTGAAGACATTGAAAAGGAGAATTCTAGCTAAGAAAATGCACAGTTTTGTAAACACAAAATTTTCCACCTGATTTCTAACTTTCAATATGGGCGTGGCCATATTTTAGCCCCGCCTGTTTACCATCACAAACAAAATGGCAGATGAAGAACAGCTGGAGCTTCAGCTTGGTAATGAAAACCAGTTTCGGGAATTTAACAATCATTGTATCTAATTTAAGGTGCAAGTTTTGTAGATGGAAAGCTGGTCAAGCTGCCCAAGAAACCGATGTCTGCTTTCCTGTACTTTTGTCGAGAAAAAAGGAAGAATGATGCTAAATTGAATGGAGTTAATTTATTAGAGGGCAATGCCATCCTAAGCCAGATGTGGAAAGATTCTTCTATGGAAGAGAAACAGGTAGTATATTGTACAACCAGTATTTGTAATTAGGCCACTCCGATTAATTTTATCATTTTGTTGACTGACTTGCTTGAACGAGATTTAAAGTAATACATCCATTCATGTTTAATATTTTGTATAACATATATATCAGGGTTTCTCACAGGATTTTGGTAGTGCTCTTTTTTTATAATTTTTCTAATGCATTTTTTGTGCTGTATCAAAAGTTTGAGATAATTCCAACCACACATTAAATTTTTATGAATTTTTAAATTTACTCGAAAATTGGGCCAAAGTCCCTGTACTATAGTACAGGGTCTTTGGCCAAATTTTGCCAAAATGACTGAGGAGAGAATTCTCCATTTTTAATATTTTTTTCTGTTACATTATGTTATGTAGCAAGTTTAAGCTGATTCTGATCAAAATTGATTTTTAATGAATTTTTAAAGTTGGTCCAAAGCCATGTACATGCATGTACTATTGCAGTGCTTGTCAGCTCATGAAAGATGCTTTTTAGCTCACTTAGCAGAATTGGAGTTGTGTATAATTTTGATTCTTACTGACATTAAATTTATACTTTTTCAGGTCTATCTATCTGCTACTCTTGCTGGCAAAGAGAAATATAAAAGAGAAATGTCTTACCTCATGATGAAATATCCCGACACCGTCAAAGAATTACAAGGTACTGGCCCTGTAAATTAATGGATTATTTTATTGTATGAAAAAGGAACGAGAAAAAGGAAAAACTCGGCTAAAGATGAAAGCATTCCAGCTCCAAAGAAGCGAGGAAGGAAGAAAAAATCCACTCCTCCTCCTCCCCCTCCTCTTGCCTCTCTTCCATCAAGGCCATCACCATCAGAAGCTCCTCCTATTACTAGTAAAAGTATTCCACCAACGCTGGTCCAGGAAGTTAAAGTCCCTGGAACTGATATTTCTATATTCACTCCGGAATTTTTGGAGCATAATAAAAGTTGGTGAAACTTTATAAAGTCAGTCACACGAGCCTGATAGCCCTGCAGTGTGCATTCTCCCATATAGCTAGCTAGTAGAATTTAGACTCTGGATAAGTTGAGCTCCAAATTTGCATGTTTTACTAAACCTTTTGTAAAAAATAATTATGAATGTGTATTTTGCAGAGCTAAATTCACAGTTAATGCGATTGAGGAGGGTCAACAATGACTTGCAATCTGAGAACAGTAGACTGGAGGACAGTGTCAGTGATCAAGAAAGGAACTTAGCAACGCTCAAGATGAAACTTGCTCAATTCAAGCAAGAGAACGATAGCTTGGAGACAAGTGTGAGACAATTAGAAGACTCTATCTTTCAATCTTTTGGAGGGTTAGTGAGCGGAAGGAATAAAGACACAGAATTCACTTCAGCCGAGGAACTGTTACAATACATAATAGTTAATGGTGTGACTGGGCGAGCTTTGGCCACCGCCGTCAAATCTTTTACTGTACCGTAAATAATTTTATTTATCATTAATTTTTATCAAGAAAATATTGAAATTAAGGAACGCCCATTAGTCTTGTGATACTACACCGAGAGACAGAAAGCTAAGGGAACAATGATAAAGGCTATCTTAGTGTTCAATAATCAAGGCAAACCTCGCCTTGTCAAGTTCTTTACCCGTTATGTAAGTACGACAAGCAGCACCAGGTTTTAAAGTATCATTATTTTTTACTTGACAGTCTGAGGATGATCAGCAGACCATCATCAAGGAGGTGTATCACATGGTGAGCAAGAGGGATGACACCGTCTGTAACTTCCTCGAGGGACCCAGTAGACTAGGGGAGGGAGAGCACAGACTCATCTACAGACATTATGCCACTCTTTATTTTATATTCTGTGTCGATGCATCTGAGAGCGAACTGGGCATTCTAGATTTGATACAGGTACTTACTTTTCATTTTAGGTCTTTATTTTACTATCAAACGTTTAACGTGCACAAAACTTAATGTATTATTTTACAATATTTTCTTGTGACCAGGTATTTGTGGAAACTTTGGATCGCTGCTTTGAGAATGTTTGCGAGCTAGATCTAATCTTCCATGTTGACAAAGTTCATAATATCTTACAGGTAGTGCAGTATAAGCCATATTGATCTAAAAAAAGGAAGTACAATCAATATCAGCATGTAGTGGGTTACCTTGTTATGATAAAGTCTTTGATTGCTTTTAAAACCAATTTGAGTATTGCATTTAATTATAATGTGATAGAAATGAAGTTAATGTGTGTTGTGTCTGTATGAACTGAGCCCATTATTATGTCATGATACACAATAGGAAATATGTATGGGAGGCATGGTCCTGGAGACTAACATTACTGAAGTGGTGACACACATTGAAGCTCAAGGCAAAGTGGAGAAGTCAGAGTCCAGCCCCACGATGAGCATCAAGGTATTAGAAATGAAATTATTTTATGATAAATTTAGTAATTCTTTTTTTGTATTGTAGTCGACGGTTTCTTCTGCGCCTAATCGTGCGATATCAGCTGTAAAGAATATACAGAACTCTTCCATTAAGCTACCGACTCCGTCTAAAATACGCTCACTCAATGTGAAATTGAGTTAGTAGTGTGTGTTTGAGGATACTTTATAAGGAAGGAGTGTCGGATGTGTTTGATTTTATTGTTAACTATTATCATTGGTTTAAATTAATTAATTTTTTTGATTTTAAAATTAATTAAATTTAAAAACTAATTTTAATTATTGGGGCATTAATTAGAATAAAAGATGGCGGACGATGACGACTTGAGTGATGAGAGCTACCCATTGGTACGTGAGCTGATATTCTCCCTCAAACTTTAATTTCTTCTCTCCCGAATCAACTCCTTATCGTAGGAATACAGCGAGAGTGAGGAGGAGCCTGACGTTGATCTAGAGAACCAGTACTACAACAGCAAGGCACTGAAGGAGGACGAGCCAGAGGCTGCTCTCTCGTCTTTTGCACAAGTACTGGAGCTTGAGGAAGAGAAAGGGGAATGGGGATTCAAGGCATTGAAGCAGATGATGAAACTTCACTTTAGACTGGTAATAAATTGAATTGAGTATTGTAAAAAAAAATTGACTCACACCTTTCAGTGATCAGAATTGGATCAAATTTTAATTTTAATAGCACAAGGACATCAGTGTCTAATGAACTAAAAATTATAGCCCAATTTGCATTTTAGTATAATATAGTATGCATCTATTGATGGCATATTTATGATTTTGGTTCATTTTTAGAGGCAAAACAATGAAATGATGAACTGCTACAAGAAGTTACTAACATACATGAGGGTAAGCTGAGAATGGGCTGATTATTATATGCACAAACGCTCACATTCCAGGGAGCTGTTACTAGAAACTATTCAGAGAAGTCCATCAATTCGATTCTTGACTACATCTCAACGTCTGAACAGGTTCATAGTCTCTCTCTACTTCTCTTGGAATCAGCTCAATTACTCCTTTCTTTGTAGGCTGACCTTTTACAAGATTTTTATGAAGCTACTCTTGAAGCTCTTAAAGACGCTAGGAATGACAGACTTTGGTTTAAGACAAATGTTAAGGTGAGAGATTGAGGAGAGATGAGGAGTAACTCTTACGACATTGTTTCCATTGTAGCTGGGAAAGCTGTGTTTTGATCAAGGAGAATTCAACAAGCTAACTAGAATAATTAAACAGCTCCACCTTTCCTGTCAAGTAAATCATTAATATTCATGATAATACGAGTCCAGGGTTTTTCACAAGATTTTGGTATAGTCCTTAGCTTCTTGCCAGTAGAGCTTTCTAGAAAGCCCTGTTCCATGGTATTTTGTCAAAAAATGGCTAGGAGAGAATTCTACATTTTTATAATATTTTCTGATACATATACATGTTCCGATGCTGTTTGTCCAGTTTGGGCTGATTCCGATCAAAATTAGATTTCTTATGAATTTTTGAAGTTGCAGTGCTTGTTATCTCAGTATGTTGCTTAGCCACTTAGCATACACTTTGTGGGAAACCCTGTATTAGACTATCAGTCAGATACACATATTTCATGACATTGTATATGCATGTCTCTACTTACATGTATAGCCTTGCTTTAGTAATGCATGCAGTGTATACTTATATTGTACTGCAGACTGCTGAAGGTGAAGATGATGTAAAGAAAGGCACTCAATTACTAGAAGTTTATGCACTTGAGATACAAATGTACACAGCTCAGAAGAATAACAAAAAATTAAAGGTGTCTACGTATTAGTTTGTTTGTTTATTAATTTGTTTGTGTGTTTGTTTTGTGCTTAGGCACTTTACGAGCAGTCGTTGCGAATCAAGTCAGCCATCCCTCATCCACTAATAATGGGAGTCATAAGAGGTTCGTATACACTCAATAATCATATTATAATAATTTAATGTATTATTACAGAATGCGGAGGAAAGATGCATCTAAGAGAAGGAGAGTTCAGTCAGTCTCACACTGATTTTTTTGAGGCTTTCAAGAACTATGATGAATCAGGAAGCCCAAGGTATTAAAGTCTTTAACTGCAACCCCCATATCATCTTTTTGTAATGTGTATAGACGATTAGCCTGTCTTAAGTATCTTGTACTGGCTAACATGTTAATGAAATCAGCTATCAATCCTTTCGATTCACAAGAAGTGAGTTGATGATTTTGGAATCACTACATTATTTTTGGACCGAAGCATTTCAATGATGCTCTATTTTTGATTTTCGTTTAAACTTTTGTTCTTTTGTAGGCTAAGCCTTATCGTAACAATCCTGAGATTGTGGCAATGACGAATCTTGTCAGCGCGTATCAGAACGATGACATTGTTGGTTTTGAGGAGATCCTTAAAAGCAATAGGTACTGACTATCAGAAATAGTACCAATAATATAGATTAATTGAATATTTAGGAGCACGATAATGGAAGACCAGTTTATAAGAGAGCATATTGAGGAGTTGCTGAGAAACATCAGACAGCAAGTGCTCATTAAACTGATTCGTCCTTACACTCGAGTGAGGATCGATTTCCTTTCTCAGGTATGCCTCGTTGAATTTAACTTTAAAGCACCTCGTCATTTCCAACCATTTTCATAGGAACTCAAAGTAGACCCGATCGAAGTGGAATCTCTATTAGTTGCTTGTATCCTTGACAAGACTATTCAAGGAAAGATTGATCAGGTTCAGCAGATATTAGAGCTGGACGCTATGCTGCAAGGAAGTGCCAGGTACCTAAATGACAACCTAAACCACATGTGTAGTAGTGTTACGTACTATAAGTGTAGTGTGGTCTAACTATTGGCAAGAACATATGTACTCTTGCTGTTGATAGTACCATTCAGCAATCAGCACTAATCATGTCCTTGTTACCTTAATTCCAAAGGGAGGATTTAGTATTATCACATGTGATGTGCATTGTTAAAATTATGACAATTTTTCAAGCAGAGTTCATTATTATTATTATGTATGATGCTCTTAGATATGATGCAGTGGAGAATTGGAGCTCTCATCTTAATTTGCTGCACACTGCAGTAGTGGGGAGAATGGTCTGAGAAAGGTTACCTTTTAGCACATTACTATTCTATATTATACTGATAACTATTGTGTTCTCACCTGATTGTCTTAAATAAACACTTACATTCATGAATAATAAATTAAATAGTGATAGAAAAATTCAAGATAATAATAATAATAATAATAATAAATTAAAGAGCAAAGCCAATTAGCATAATTATTAAGTTTTCTAACATTATTTTTTAAATTTAGTTCTATTTCTTCTTCTCCATGAACTCTTTCATGAAAGTTGTTAGCTTCTCAACGTCATTAGGCATCAAAGCATTGTAGAGTGATGCCCGGATTCCTCCAACTGATCTGTGACCTTTCAGCTGTAACAACCCACGACTTGACGCCTCTTCTAAGAACTCCGCCTCTAGTTTCTCCCTATTCTCTTCGGATCCGACTCGAAACGGCACATTAACACGAGAGCGAGAATTCTCGGCAACAGGAAGATAATAGAATCCGTTGCTACTGGCAATCACGTCAAAGACCATCGTTGATTTAGTGGCCGAGTTTGCTTGCATTGCTGTCAATGTAAAAATAAATGAATTACGTATTAGTGCAGTAATGATGGGAAGGAATCATTACCTGTCACACCTCCTTGCTTCTCAACCCACTTCAGTACCTGCCCTAGTATATAGACTGCCCAAGTACATGGCGTGTTGTATAATGAATTAATCCCTGCTTGAACCTAAACAATGAACATAAGAGAGAGATTATTTGTATTGACTACAGGTAGAGAATACACAATGGGTCAATGCATGTATTTCTTTACTGTATAGTCTAGGATGATAGGACAATTCTTCCTTGTCTTTCCAATTAGATCTTCACGAACTAGAGAGGGAGAGAGATAGAGAAGGCTTGAGCTGATACTATAAGTATTGTTTACTCACTGATAACAATAGTAACTCCAGAGCAGCCAACATTCTTTTGAGCTCCAGCAAAAATGACACCATACTACAACATTAAAAAATATTTACAATAAACATGTGCATAAACATAATAGCTTGCTTTAGTTAACTATAGTCTAATGGAATTCGTTACCTTTGATACATCAATCGGTCTTGTGAGGAAATTAGAAGACATGTCACATACCAGTGTTTTGCCCTCGCCTACGTTAGGGATGCTTGGAAATTCCACACCTTAAAAAACAAAAAAGGAATAAAAGTTTGTGCTAATACGAAAATACCATGGACTGTCTCGTTATCACAGTAATAGACATAAGAGGCCTCAGGCGTTAACTGCCATTTGGATTCATGAGGGACTTCAATGTATTTGCTTGTTTTTGGTAGAACGTAGTTGACCTTTATATATTTCTCTGCTTCCTTTGCAGACTTCTGCGACCAGGTCCCAGTTACAAAATAGTCAGCAACCTCGTCCGAGGACTGCGTGAGGTTTAGAGGCAGTGCAGCGAACTCTCCAGTCCCTCCTCCCTGCAGCAAGAGGACCTTGTAATTGTCCGGTATCTGGATTAGTCGGCGGAGCGTCCCGATGCACTCATTCTGTATTCTGTCGAATTCCTTTGAGCGGTGGCTTAGCTCTGCAGTCAAAGAATGTTACAGTCAAGGTAAGGAGCAGCATCTATGTGGCTTTGGCTTACCCATGACCCCAATCCCTGTTCCTTCCCAGTTCAAAGCAGCGACTTGAGCCTCGAGCAAAACCTGCAATCGAGTTAGATTAACAGCATCTGCTAGCTCTTACCTCTCTTGGTAGCTTTGCTGGGCCAGCGGCAAAGTTGACAACATCTTCAGGTTTTCTCTCGGGTTTTCTCTCCATCTTTTTGCGAGCAATGAGTGTGGATATGGGATGTGAATTTTCCGGGTGCGGTCTTTTGTTCTGCGCATGCGCAGTGCCTTTTCTCTTGGCGCGCAGGTGATCCTCCCTCACTCATTAATCATTATGGAGAAAGCTGTTCTTGAAGCTCTTGGAGACCAAAAGCCAGAAGAAGTAAATAATTATAGCTATTTCACATTTTACTCTTTAATACAGTTACCTGATCTTGTTCTTCATGGCATCAATTCAGCAGATATATCTGGAATCACAGAGTCCTTCACTCAACTGAAGAAATTGGAGATTGTCAATTGTGCCCTAAAGTCTGTCTCTGGTCTGCCATCTTTACCATCAATCAAGACTGTAAGCTAAAACCCACTAAAGTACATATTGATATTTATAATGGAATTACTTGATAATTAATATCATCGTTAATGTGGGGTGGGGCATTTCCAGTTAATTTGTCTATAAAATTATTTTTCTTGGGTTAGGTGAATTTTGTAATCAGAATTTATATTTGACCACAACCTTTATGGTTTTATCATTTTTACCTTAACGAAATTATAATTTCAGTTGATGCTTGGCGATAATAATCTCAAAGGTAAAGAGCCAGTGGAACACATAGTCAGTGTATGTCCCCATATTGAGATACTCAGTCTCGTTGGGAACAAGTTTGAATCTGTGGATGACATGATCCCATTGGTGAGTATGTAACATAGTAACTCACACACTATTTTAGTAACAGCTCCTTTAATAATGCCTTCAATAGAGTTTTAAAAAAATACCAAACCTTTACAGTGTGTATGTAATGGTGAGATAGAAATGTAAATTAATGGTTTAATTGGAAACTAGCTGATTGGGAAGGATCCAATCAACAGTCTTTGGTGCTAATTGTCTATTGATGATTGTGTATCTCAATGGCCACTCTCCGGCTGTGTTTACACTGCAACGAAACCTATTCAATCCGTACAATTTTGTGCCTGTTTTATGCTTCTGTTTACACAGAAACGAATGAAGACATGAGGACTCTATGGAAACTTCAAAGTGTATCGGTTAAAAAATGATACATTTTGCGTTGCTGTGTAAATGCAGCCTCCTTTCTCTATTAAAACTCTCTCTTGATTATAGGAAGGATTGAAAGGTCTTACGAGCCTTGATCTCTTTAATTGTCCACTGACAGAGTTTAATGGCTACAGAGAGAAGCTATGGAGTCTACTCCCAAAACTGAACGTGCTTGATGGTTACGATCGTGAAGGGAAAGAAGTAGTAGATGATGAGGAAGAGGAAGAGGAGGAGGAGGAGGAAGAAGAAGAGGAGGAGAGTGGTGATGATGATATAGGACTTGATTATCTTCAGAGAGAAATAATTGTAAGAGAGAGCTTACCCAACTGACTGTCCCTCTTTGTCTATGCCTTTAGAGTGACGATGAAGACGAATATGATCCAAATGCCACCAACAGTCCTCCGAGTGATGATCACGATTTTGACGAAGAAGAGGAAGAAGACGGAAGAAAGGAACTGGGAGAGAGCAGCAAGAGGAAAAGCATTGAGGACATTGGCCCTTCAACAAAGAGGGCAAAGTTAGAAGAAGAGGAAGAAGACGGTTTAGAGGATGGGGTTGGAGCAGGAGGTGGTGAAGATTAAGGACACACATTTACACGCACACACACACACACACACCATTTCTCTACTTTTTCAGCAAACACATGCATGTACATGTACAGCTCAGTTTTGTTGTCGTTTTTTTTATATTGATATATACCTGGGAGCTTTGGTGATGACATGCAAGCCTCTCTCTCAACTGGTTTGACCACAGTGCCTGCTTCATGAGCTGGCAAGCACTGTATAGTACTTACGATGGAGTATGTGGCATTTGGAGCAACTTGAAATCAAATTTTGATTGAAATTAGTTTTAAAATTCTACACAAGTATATTGTATTAGAAAAATGGGGCCTAGTCAGTGTTAACAAAATTTGGCAAAAATTTACTATGGTACAGGGACTTAGGAGCAACTTTTAAGTTTTGTTAAAAAAATTCAATTTTGATCGACATTGGCTCAAACTTTTTATGCAACATAAGAACGTGTATGTATCAGAAAAAAATAGAATTCTCTCCTAGCCATTTTTGAGACACTTAAATCCAATATTCCATCAAAATGGCTGCCTTTTTCTACTTCAATTTTAAATCACAAAACAATGTATTATTATTATTGTAACGATTACAAAACACATTGGGAGAAAACAGGACAGTCAAAACACAAAAAAAAAATAATTATGAGAGAAGGATTGTAGTAAAAAATTTAATCATAAAACAAATAACAACGTAAAGAAATAGTCCGTATAACAATAATAATAATAATGATAATAATAATACTCTAGCATCATTACACTACTAGTTATATTAATGATAATAATAATAATAGTAACAAAAAGTTTATTAACTCGATAATTATAATAATATTCTGTCCATATAAATTAGCCATGACAGAGAATTAGAAAAAAAAGAAGGGTAAAGAAAAGAAATGCAAAAAGAGAGAGATTATTGTATTGATGATAAAAGTCCAAGATGACAAAACATGCTAAAAGATAGGAAGTGCAATAATAATAATTACTACCATTAGACGATGAGATTATAATCTCTCAGATTCTCTTCAAGGACTGTGGTCTTGACAGCTTCGAAAACGCGTTGAATATTTTCCGTGTCTGTAGCGGTTGTGAAATGAGGGAATATATGCTTCTTTTCGTCAGGATTGACGCTTAGAAACATTTCTTTAATGAATTCTTTAGCCTTTTCTGCATCTTTAGGAGGTCCTGTGGAAAGATAAAGGGAGTAACATCTGACATTTTTGTTAACCAAGCTGGCTGGCATGACTGTTATGCTAGGCTATAAACTGTATTATACATGTGTAGCAAATGTTTGTGAGTAATAATGGCAACCATATATCTGATTGGCACAAACCACACACACCACAAACAAGTGTATATACACAGTCCAATATTATAAATATAGCATTTGTTTAAGGTCATGCTTTATGAGCCAGCTTCTATCTATATTGACATACAGCTATGCAAGGTGTGGTCCAACTACTTATTATTATTAATACTATTTTATTAATGCATTGGGTGTGGTCTGGCCATTGTTGATATCATAATGAATATTTTTTAATTTGTCTCTGTTTACAATTAGCATTGTCATAGATCATAGAAATAGCAAATTGATGTTATTCACATCAAGCATGCTACACGGTCGTGTTTATATGTAAACTTAAAATAATATTTTTATGATTATTTTATAGACGTGTGCATGATAATTGTGTCAAGCAAAGGAATTTATACCCAAAAAAGCACGTCCGTTATTACCGGATGAAATCGAATTATATTTAATCAGATTAAAATTGGAGTATGACAACACATGAAAAAGAGGGAAGTCTGGATAATAATAATGGTATGGTACTACGTACAACTCAAACTCTCTCTCTCTCTGTCTCCCTCTCTCTCTCTCTCTCTAACCTGAATATTGAGGGAAGTAGTCGCTAAGATTAGATTTCATAATCTTCTCGTCAAACAGGTCAGTCTTGTTTAGAAACAAGATGGACGACGCCTCAATAAACCAAGGATAGCCGATGATCGTCTCAAAGAGAGCCAGACTCTCCTTCATTCTGTTCTCATTCGCATCCTCAAATAGCGCCTGTATTTTAAAAATGAGATAACGAATAAATTTTCATATGTGTTAGCTCATTGTACTTGCTAAGACAAGTGTTTTTAAAATAGAGAGAGAACATGAAATGTACAAAACAATGGAGCTGCACAGACCTGATCATATTCATTGATGGCAGTCAAAAAGATGACAGCTTTGACTCCCTCAAAGGCATGAATCCATTTTCTTCTCTCCGACCTCTGCCCACCAACATCAATCATCCTGTGACATATGAAATGTTCATGAACTAATTCCTTACTAACTGACACACAGACGATTACTCACTCGTACACTCAATGATGCTGAATAACTGATTCAATCACTCATCCCCCTCATCTTCTACTACTCAAATACTAGTACATTAGTACTACACAATGATCTGTACACAATATTGCCATTGTATATGTAGCACTCTCTCTTTTTCTTTCCCCCTCTCTCTCTTTCCTTCTCTCCCCCCCTCTCTCTCTCTGACCACAACAACTGTGCAAGCGATTACAGCTCTTTTGTAAGAGAATAAAATAACAAAAATTAATGAAGGATTACATGTTGCAATTACATTATAAACAAAGGACAGACATACATTATACAAAAATGAAATATAATACACACACACACACATGTGCCACGAGTTTAAAGATACCAGTTACACAAGAGGAGAGAAAGGAAATTGTGAATAAAGAAGAGGAGAGAGGCTCACAAAGAAACATGTCAATATATGTACATACATACCTAAATACCACATCCTTTCTCATTTGAAAGGTGTATTCTATGATGCCAGTGGTAGGTATTCTTACACGGAGTACATCTTGTACATTAGGAACGTATGATGATTCAAATAGTCTGTCCAAGTCATCTAGATAACTACATGTAACAAGGGGAGGAGAAGAAGAATATAAAGAAGATTAGGATTGAAAATATTCTCCTTCTTTTTCTTTTCCTCCTCCTCTCTCTCTCTTTTTGAAAGCCCCTCCTTACTATTTTGCGGAGTCAGATATTTGGAATTCTCTTCTTCTCTCAAAACAAGCTTGAATTCCACTGTCTGACCAGAACGTTCTAATGGAGCTTTGAGACTCGGCCTCTAGAGTAGTCAGGCCATCAATGTCCATATCAAGAAACTGATCGCCTAGAGTCTATCAATCAAAGAGAGAGAGAGTGAGTATTAGAATGTGAAAAAATGAGAGTACATAACTTAATAATGCTAATACATAGCTCGTTAATTTTATTTCCCTTCCAAATATGGTTGACATGTTAATTATAATGCTATTTATCACTTACTCTATTATTATCATCCTCGTACTGGATCTTAAGAGTCGCCATTGCTTCGGCGAGGAGCTGGACGGCCAAGAGAATGTTACGGAAGATAAGCGGGATAAACTCTTTCCTATCCTTGTCCGTGTAGCCTTGTCCATGGATGATACGCATTTGTTTGATGAAGGTACTCTTGCCAGCTTCTCCGGTACCTTTAGTAGTAAGGAGAATCATTGAAGACATGGTATCAGATATTATGAGTTGTTTGTCATTCAAGGTGGCCGTAATAGCAAAACAAGACTAAGTGGGAAAGAGTGTTTTGTGTACATTTCAGGGGCTGAGGACTGCCTACAATTTATTATATAATGCTGTACACATGCCTCTGACTAGTGAGCTATTAGGAATGAAAGCTGTTAGGATGATGATTTTTCCCAGGTGTGTGTGTGTGAGAGAGAGTGTGTGTGTATGTATTATATGTACATTCTTCTTCTTCACGGTCTTACCAAGGAGCAACAGTTTGTATTCTTTGCTATTGTCTCGCTTCCATCGCTCTATCTCTCGCTCGATATCTTTACTGACGCGGAGGGCGGCCCTCGACTCTGGGTCCATACAGCAGGCGAAGGCGTCCATGTCTTTGTGTGTGTGTGGTTTGGGGAGAAAGAGAGATGGTTAGGGCGTCAGGGACGGAGAGAAACAAGCCGACTCACCTCGCCCCTATAAATCTCTTTATTCATCGAGTGGCAAGGAATGCGGAAGGAGAAGGAGAGACGACCTCGCCCATAAGTTGGCTGTGACTTCCACATCTCGCCGGGGAAAGGAGGCGACTGTGAAGTCTGCTGAGAGAGGGCAAGGGCGTATGAGACAGCAAAAAGCTAGCTTTCTTCATTAAAACCTATACTGATAGAAGGAGAGAGAGAGAGAGGGAGTCTTTTGTCACGGCCATGTCGTGTTTTGTGAGCGAAGAAGTCCGCATGCAGCGGCGGATCAACAAAGAGATTGATAGACAGTTGTTAAGAGATAAAAAGGACATGAAACGAGAGCTAAAACTTCTCCTTTTAGGTAAGACTATTGACCAGGGAAAGAAGGGGTTATAATACTGATTGTGTGCTATACTTGTTATCTTTAATGTAAGTATACTACTCTCTTTCACTTTATCTTGTTTCTCTCTACATCCTCTGTTACATCTCCTTTCCTCTCACTAGGGGCTGGTGAATCTGGTAAAAGCACCTTTATTAAACAAATGAGAATTATTCACGGATCTGGCTACAGTGTTGAAGACAGGAAGCAATTTGTGACCCTCATATATCGCAACATGTACACATCACTCCAAGCCCTCACAACTGCAATGGAAAGCCTCAAAATACCATATACCGACCCTCAATCTCAGAGCTATGCAGAGAGTATCTCAACGGTCAATCCCGAGACGGTCTCTGAGATACCAGACGATCATAAGGAGGCGTTCAAGTGTCTCTGGTCAGATGATGGGATACAGCAATGCTATCAGAGAAGGAGAGAGTTCCAATTATCAGATTCTACTAAATAGTGCGTATGCTTTAAATGTAAAGCCTGGCATTTTATTCCTTTTGTAGTTATTTAGATGATGCTGAGAGACTGCTTGCACAGGACTTTGTTCCCACGACACAAGACGTGCTAAGAGTGAGAATTCCCACGACTGGAATCATTGAATATCATTTTGACATTAGAAATGTTATATTTAGGTGAAACCCTCTCTCTCTCTCTCTCTCTCTGACTCTCTTTCTATTTCCTCTCCTCAAAATTATCTTTTCCTTTCTTTCTATATGATATCTCTCTCTTGTTGTGTATAGAATGGTGGATGTTGGTGGTCAGAGATCAGAGAGAAGAAAGTGGATACATTGTTTTGAGAATGTAACGTCAGTCATGTTCCTAGTAGCAATATCAGAGTATGACCAGATACTAGTCGAAACTGATGAGGTGATTTGCATTAATTCCTGTTATTGCTGACTAATTTTGTGTGTGTCTATGTTGTTGCGTTACTTTCGACGGGAAGATTTTGCCAAGGCATTATAATTATTTAATAACTGGAACATAAATAGTGACTGTTTCAGTGTGTACATGTATCTGTCTGTATTGTTTACGCTACAGCTTAGCCGGCACAATATCACTGGCTACTGCATTGTAATCACATAGGGAATTGATATCCTCCATCCATTATAATCCTGCCAGGCTGCCACATGTGTGTGTGTGTGCTGTATGACGTATTATGTTTCTATTAATAAGAAGCCAACGGTCATTGCCATCATTTTAATTAGTATTGTGTACTCTATCAGTTTTGCCCATCAATTTTTATTGCATTAGATTGATTGCATTACCTCCATATTGCACTACATGTAGGTGCAATGTCTCAGCTGAGTGAGTCTTTGAATTACATGCATGTATAATGTTAACATGGCGTCTCCTGTCTCGTTTGTAGGCTGTCAATAGGATGGAGGAGAGCTTGGCTTTGTTTGAGACCATCAGTCGCTATCCGTGGTTCCGTACTTCTTCCGTGATACTCTTCCTCAATAAGAAGGATCTACTCGAAGAGAAGATAATGATTTCCGATCTTTCTGATTATTTCCCGGAGTATAAAGGTAAGACACAGCCCGTATTCCATCCCTAATGCGATTTTAAAAGCACCTAATACATTTACACGCGTACTTTCATATTATATATGGTATGAATTAATACTAATAAAGCAACACTAAAAATGATGTTCCCCGCATCATTTTCAACTTTAAAAGCAGCCTCTTTGGACGCCAAAATTAATGAAATTAAACCTTTTGCCAAAATTGTTGTCTCTGTAGTAACATGTAGTAGTTTTTTGTAATCTTTCTGTGCTAGCTAAACTATTTTTAAGAAGCCTGTGTATTGTTATGGGGAAACTTGTTTAGTAAATCTTATGAATGAATGAATGCAATAGAAGTTTAAAAAAATCAATTTTACTGCAATACAATAATTTACAATGATACACAGTTGGGCCACACTTAGGATTAACCGCCCACACTAGTTTATTAATACAGAGTTTTTGATATGTTCACATATCATACACGCACAGTATTCTAATACCTTATTCTTATTGTAAATTTATGACATAAATTTATCGCAATGCCTTAAACCTTCAGGTCCAAGGCAGAATTACAAAGAAGCTCGGGAGTTCATCGCTCGTATGTTCATTAACATCAACCCACAGAGGTCAGCTGATATTTATCCCCACTTCACCTGCGCCACAGATACAGAGAATATTAAATTTGTTTTTGATGTTGTAAAGAATCATATATTACAACAGCACATTATAGAAGTTATTCCAGGCCTCTAGAGAATAATTCTTATAGCAATAATGATACTAATGAATAATGGATAATAATAATTATTATTAAAACAATTATTGTTGCTATATTTATCTCTTTTTATCATGTTTTATTTTTTTACTGACAACCACAGTATTATAATACTTACTATTATTATTGTTATTATTATTATTATTATTATTATTATTATTATTACTTACTTATTATTAATATTATTAATTGTATCCACATGCATTTACTTCTCTCTCTTCTTTCTTCATCTTTTTTTGTCGCTTTAAGAATACATAATAATAATAACAATAATAATAGTAATATAGTAATAATAATAATTTTCATTCCTGTTCCAGCCTTTTCTCTCTTCTTTATTAAGTTTCTTTCTACCAGGATACAGATTCACACTATGTATATGTATGTATTGTCATCTCTTTATTAGTGATGGGAGAGTTGTCTTAATTCCAGTTGTCTATTTCATTTTATATGCCATACTGCTTCTCTCTCACTCCATTTTCAGCGTTTAAATGTCATCATTATGAGATAATTCATGTACATGGAACTGATGTTACAGTTACAATATTGCACAATGTGAATGTGTGTGTGTGTTTAGTTGTGTCATTATGGTTTTAGGTCTTCAGATGTTGATCTGCTTGACGAGAGAAGTGAGGATTTGCTAGTCAGTGTCTCCATCAGTTCAGTATATCCACTGTAACCGATAGGAAATAGATTACCCTAAGTTGTATAATGTTTATGAAGAATGAATAATAATGGTTCTCATTGCTGTCTCATAGCATAATTCTGACATACACTACAAGTTATGTAGAATCCTCACATACAGTACATGTAACTGCATGTGTTATAAGTGCAATGATGTGTTCAAAAAATGATACCCAGTACAATGTATTATATAGATCTAGTTTAATCTTTCTTCTTTGTGTCATTGCATTATTAGGCTTTTTTTAGAGTACAGACTATATTATAATTGTCATCTCTGATCTAATTGCATGTTATAGTAGTCATCAAAAATAACATTGAAGAGGTAATGGTGGATATAATAAGTTCTAACTTCATTAGTTACTCATAAATATATAGTAACATGGCCCTCCCCCCTCTCTCCACTAATGAGCATTCCTCTAACAGTGAATGCTATAAAGGTTGAATTACTGTACATTCTTCTCCTCGTTACTGATACTCGTATCATTGCTTTGTACAGTTAATATAGTTACCTGTAAATTGATGCTCTGGAGACCAATCCCGTGTACAGAGACGTGATCTGCTTGGTATTGTATCACCGATAATAGAAGATCTACTCCACCTTTGCCAATTTTGTTATCTAAATTAATGTAATAATCTCATTTTACTTAGTAATTATTATTAATGTACATATTAGTATTCACACATGCATATTCAAGCCGCCCAGAATTAACTCTCTACCATTGGGCATAGTTCCCTCATCGTTAGCAGAGGTGTAAACAATAGTGTGAGATTAATCGTGAATTAGCTTCAATGCATAGCTATTTATGTTACTCTGATTGAGTTGTAATATCCTCATTATAAGCTGCATAGTGATCTCACTGTACATATATTCATTGGCTCATCAGAGTACATTCTTATATTATGTGAATTGTCATTGTGAGTGTGTATAGTATATAGCTAGTATTCATTGAATGTTTGTGTAGGTCTATTGTCCTTCCTGGTTGTGTTGTGATTTGCACGTGCAGTGCATCATAAGATATACATGAGTACATTTGTACATGTAATGTACAAGTATGATTATTATTACTATTATTGTTAGTTATTTGCTATTGTTAGAAAAGGCTTTGTATAACACTGTGCTTGTGTTTTTTGTATCTCACAAGATAGAGAGAGGTTAATTATCGAGTAATTTCCTTGACAGATCACATCTCCCTTTGGATTAACCTCCACACCATCGATCAGGGGCCCTTGTGCTACTGGTACTGATGGCTGTGTGGTATATAATATTATGTGTCATTGATATTTGAGGAATTTTGTTTGATTACTGTTTGATGTGTTGGAGTTGATGGAGCAGTTTTGTCGTCCATTGAACTTCCACCTTTGCTTGTTTTCTTTTTACTTTCTGTCCCTGTTTCATTATAACTCAATGTCACTGCACCCTTTCTCTTACCTTTCTTTGTCTTTGCGATGAAGCTAGCAGTTTTCACTAATGCCCCTATAGTAGGCCCTCCACTCTGTGTGTGTGTAAATACATTATCAATTATAAAGTGTAGCAGAGAGATCGAAAAGCCAATGTACATGTACAGTCTAGATACAAATAATATCTACAGCTATTCATTTATATGTACATACATGTGCATACATACCTTTTTGCCTGAGTCAACTGTCTGCTGTTTTTCTTTACAAACACTAATGCATTAATAGTGATTTTAATGTGATATATACATGTAGTGGTAGTTGGGTTACCTTTTCCTTGATGATGTTCTACGACTGAGAGATTCGCTCAGACCCATCCACTAAAGGAGAGAAAATAACGAAATTATGAAACTATGTATTTACATGTACATGTATGCAGGGTTTCCCCATGGGATTTTGGCACAGTGCTCGTGCAACTTCTTGTCAGTGAAGAGAATTCTTCATTTTTATAATTTTTTTCTCATCCATATACATGTCCTTATGTTGTGTATCAATTTTGAGCTGATTCCGATCAAATTTGAATTTTTATGAATTAAGTTACTAAAAAATTGGGCCAATGACCATAAGCATGTTTTGTGGGAAACCTATCATGTATGTGTTTCTCTTACTTGGTCAGAGTAGGTTGTAGCAGAGAAAAGTTTGCGTCTTTTGACAATTTCTTTGTGATTTAGTACAAACTCTTTCAATATCTATAAGAAAATGCTATAGTAACATTGTACATTAAATGCTATAGCTAATCCTATAAATGTTACACTACATGGACTACACAATAGCACCTATTCCTCCCTCACCAGTGTAATGTATGATACTCCAATGTCAGTGATGTTATTTCCAGAGAGACTCAAACTGATTAGGTTCCTGTTCATCCTCAGTGACTCTGCTATCATCTTGAGTCCATCGTCACTCAGTGAGTTTTGTCCTAGATCAAGTTGCTGTAATGGAGAGTCTTCGGCCAGTGCTTCACACAACGGGGAGAGATGATCATCTTGTAGTGTACAGCAACGCAAGCTTAGACCAGTGAAACTACATTATCAATTAGGGATTAATGCTTACATGCAAGTATTATAAAAATTCCAATAATAATAATAATAATAATAATAATAATAATAATAATAATAATAATAATATCATTACTTTTTGTATTCTTGATGGAGTAGTAGTTTTTTCAATGGTGTGAGGTCATTCAAATAGGATCCTCCAATATCAAGCATTCTATGGAAGGCAGCACAAGTCATTAATCATACTGCATCTAGTGTACATGAACCTGCACTGAGCCTGCGGTATCAACTCTGATAGACTTGAGAGTGAAGGCAGATCGATATCTGTCTGCCATAAGCTATAGAGAAGAGCAAGGAAAAACAAATAGCGATTGTCATTTTTAATGGACATGGACATTGTGTATACCTGATTTCTGATGTGGTCATTGTTTGAAAGGTGGATTGTAAAGCAGTCATGAGCGGTGTGGTCACTTTGAGATCTGGAGGGAGAGAGAGAGAAAGTAAATTAATGAAATACACCACACAAACCTATTATTTGGATTTCGTGAAAATTAAACCTAGAGGACACAAGTTTCATGAGATCATCAGGAGTCTTGATAGAGTCCAGTTTCAATGACAGTTTCTTTTCATTAGAATAGGAGCCCCACTTCTCAGCAAACTGTGGCGTGGTCTGTACGTAAGGTCTACATCGAATTAATACAAAATAATTATTATATAATAGTAACAGTTTGAGATGATTACAATCATAAATTCTAGAGAAGTATTACAAGTAATGTACCTCATGAAATCAGTAGGATAGAGGGCAATATCATAGAATAGACGTCTTTGTGTTTTGGTATTATCAGTGTAGAGTATCTCTCCTTTTAGATTCATTGCAATTGAGGGTCCTTTGGGAACCAATGACAGTATAAGGGTACCCTATGAGGTTGTAAGTGCATGTGTATTATATACATGTATGTATGGAAAGAGGAAGGGATTGTTAAAGTTTCTATTTAAATTGAATATAATCACATTAGCAAATCCTTCAAGATCTCCAGTCCAGCTTAAATCTTCTTCGCTCTCTTCTTCCTCTCCGTCCTTCCACCTTAGTCCCTTCAGAAAGACATTATTTTATAATTAATAAGCATCATTGCACCAGTTGCTGTTACCTTAGTGTTTGATGGTGGGGTACAGCTCATGTTGACAGAGGTGATTGGGGCTTGCTTTTGATTTGAGAGCGTTAAAACTAATGCCAGTTTATCAGGGTGAAGCAATTTAGTGACAGAGAGCCTGATATGCCCATCACTGACTAACTCCTAATAATAAAAAACATAATAATAACTATTATCATATAATATACTATAGGTTAACTATAACCACTAAAATTAAAATGAAATCTAACAGAAATACCTTTTTGTTCCAACCACTGACTGATGTGACGTTATTTAAAGCATCAGGCAGTTTCACGGTATTAGAGGACAAGGGGGCATCCATTATAGCAAGGAGAGTAGGGGCAGGCGAAGAGGAGGGGGAAGGAGTAGGTAAGAGAGAGGTAGTTGTATCAAAAGAGGAAGGGAGAGAGGACACAGGAGGAAGGGAAGGCTGGCCAGAAGTGAGAGATGTTGATGTTGAAGAGGACCCATCAAAAAGTCCAATTAAATCATCGCTAAAGGTTACAGAAGTACAATGACATAAAATGTACACGTACAAGATAAGACTCACTTGAAAGAAGTACTAGACTCTGTTAATGGCTTCCCTCCTCCTTGTGATGGCTTCATGAGTAATGTATCTGAGGCTTCATCTTCATGTACATGAGTCTCGTTGCTTAGAACCTGAAGTTGATCGAATAGAGAACCACCTCCTCCTCCTCCTCCTCTTCCTTCCTCAGGAGGAGGAGGAGAAGGAGGAGCAGCAACAGGAGCAGTGCCAGTAGTAGAGAAATCAATACCCTATACAAAGATATAGAATAGATACACACATATATATACATGTACCAAGCACAACAACATAATTAGATACACATTATAGATAAATTTTTTAACACCTTTATATGGCCCATACCTCTAAATCTATTAATTGACTTGTCTCTTGTGTCTTTCCTTTATCATCGTTGGCATTGGTATTGAGTTTTGAGGATCCTCTTTCTCTCTCTTCTCTTCCTCTCCTTTGCTTAGAGGGTCTTTGAGCTGGTCCAGATAGACCAGTGAATAAAGCCGATGCCAGCTGCTGCTTCTTAGCCTGCTCTACAGGGATCTGGGGAACAGCTTCTATGCTACTGCCCTGTGTTTATCAAGTAAAAATTATGATAAGTAAAATTACAATTGCTTTATAATCAGGTTAAATTTGCTATATAGCATAGGGGCATCAATATGTATCAGAAAATGTAATAAAAATTGGGGGTGATTTCGGAGCCACTTTTTGGAAAAAACCATGGGCTATAGCCTTGGGTATTTTTCAAAAACTGACTCATTTTTTAAAATGGCCGTAACTCGAAAAATATTTGTCGGAATCAACTCAAACTTTTTACAGAGCATAAAGACGTCATTATGTATCAAAAAATGTAATAAAAATTGGGGGTGATTTCGGAGCCACTTTTTGGAAAAAACCATGGGCTATAGCCTTGGGTATTTTTCAAAAACTGACTCATTTTTTAAAATGGCCGTAACTCGAAAAATATTTGTCGGAATCAACTCAAACTTTTTACAGAGCATAAAGACGTCATTATGTATCAAAAAATGTAATAAAAATTGGGGGTGATTTCGGAGCCACTTTTTGGAAAAAACCATGGGCTATAGCCTTGGGTATTTTTCAAAAACTGACTCATTTTTTAAAATGGCCGTAACTCGAAAAATATTTGTCGGAATCAACTCAAACTTTTTACAGAGCATAAAGACGTCATTATGTATCAAAAAATGTAATAAAAATTGGGGGTGATTTCGGAGCCACTTTTTGGAAAAAACCATGGGCTATAGCCTTGGGTATTTTTCAAAAACTGACTCATTTTTTAAAATGGCCGTAACTCGAAAAATATTTGTCGGAATCAACTCAAACTTTTTACAGAGCATAAAGACGTCATTATGTATCAAAAAATGTAATAAAAATTGGGGGTGATTTCGGAGCAATTTTTTGGGAAAAACCATGGGCTATAGCCTTGGATAATTTTTCAAAAATTGGTTAAAATGTTTATAACTTAAAAAATATTTGTTGGAAATTTCTACACACATGTAAGATAAGGGTATCAATGTGTATCAGAAAATTATAGTAAAGGGTCTTGGCTATAATTTTTGAGCAACTTTTAAATTGATTGTACTGTACATGCAGTTTTGTCTACCTTAATGCTAGTGGCATTGGCTGCAGTCTCAGCTTTTGGTTCTTTAATATCATCAATACTACTGGTTGATGATCTTACTGACTCTGATACATCATCAATCCTAAAACAGTAAAAACATACAATAAAATAATAACAAGTATAATAATAATTTTAATAATAATAAATAATAATAATAATAATATCTGTACCTGTTACTAATATTATCTACAATCACTGGGGCAGCTGCTTTTGCATAGCCAGTTCTGGACCACTTTTGATTACCTTTGGACTGTATACCAGACTTACTATAAAAACAAAAAATAATAAAAAAGTGAACTACATGTACATGTACATGAGTACATGCATTAATCTTTATAATGAAAAATCAGCATTAAAAAATAAAAACTTAATTTATTTTTAATACACAAAAGAGACTTTATATACATCCCATAACTAACAGGGTCGACTGTGTGTGTGGCTTAGACTCATCAGAAATGCTCTCCCGATCCCTTGTTACTTCAGCCCCGCCCACTGACGAGGACGACGATAAAGAATCAGTCAATTCTTTACGAGCCAGAGACGGAGAACTAGACGTAACATGAGAAGTAGCGATCGGCCTAGAGGGAGTCGCATACGGCTCAAACTTGATCGAGGGTCTTTGCTGAGGCTTAGGAGCTAAAGTAAAGCAGCATAAAAAAGAATAGAGATAAATAAGACTATAGTTACTGTAGTTAGTACTAAACAAACACATTATAATAGAATAGAATAGGAGTGCCGGTTACATTGTGAAGCTTTTTGGGACACTCTCATATGAGGAGGCTTATAAGGTGAGGCTCCTTGCACTAGTGCTTCTGAGACATAAGAATCAAGAAATGACAGAGAAGCATCAATCTAGAGGAGAGAGAGAGAGAAAATACATAATTATTATAAATGTAAAACTAAGTGAGTAAACACCAGGTCCAACAATGTACATGTATGCAAATAAGTGGTTAGAGTACAACTTGCCTCTAAGTCTTCACAAGCTGAGTCCAGTGGCAGAACAGCCTGCATTAGCTCTAGCTTCTCTGAAAACTCAAACAATTCACTACAACGCTACAAAAATTATTAATAATAATAAATGCATACAAGAAATAGGAGCAACATAGAAATGAAAGTATTTCCAGTATATTATGTACTTGTTGGACATCAGTGTCTTCCCAGGCAAGATAGACAGCTAACTGAGAGTGGAGGTACTCAGGAACATACCCAATGAGTGCAATGAGTCTAGCAATGCTATTTATTATCCACGAATACGTCCTAATATCTGTAGAGAGAAGAAAAATATGCATATACAACTCAATTTTCTCTTTCAGTACACATGTATATACTAATGTACATGTACATTTAAATTCTATTCATTCTCAAGTGTGCATTAATGTACCTTTAAATTCTAATTGTAATAGTCCAGTGATCTTCTCAAGCACATCTTCCACCTGATACTCATCCTCCACTTCATACACATACTCACCAACAACCTAGAGAAAGAGAGAGAGAGAGAGAGAGAGAGAGAGAGAGAGAGAGAGAGAGAGAGAGAGAGAGAGAGAGAGAGAGAGAGAGAGAGAGAGAGAGAGAGAGAGAGGGCATTAGTTTAAGCAGTGATTGGAGGATTAGAGTACCCAGCAGATAATCTTTATAAGTACATCAGGTAGTTCCTGTGGTTTGCTCAACAAGGCTATGTACGAGCTAACAGCATTCCCTCTCAACTCTTTATCCAAGTCCTCATCTTCAGTGCCTTTAAAAGTAAAGGCATACATGTAACACACAAATGCAAGTTAGTAGATTGTTCTATACTGTACCTTCAGCAATGAGTCTCATGAGATTGTGAGCTACTTCTCTTCTAACGAGACTCCCTCCTAACTCAAAGACAGAGTTCATTGTGCTAATGAACCAGGAGTTATCGGGAGCAAATGTAGAGAGAACAGAATGTCAAGGAAACAACAATTAGTTAGGATGTACTAGATATGCTTTGATAACATAATGTACATTGCACTTTCACTCTATCTCTTCCTCTTTGACATAGAATGTACATTATTATTATTATTATTATTATTATTATTACTAATATTTATGTGCTGCAGTGTATAATCAACTAGAGTATTAATTGACATTCCTGTATGGAATGAGGATATCTTTCAGCAAGTTGCGTTATTTTAGAGACCAGGTCCGTCTTGATGAATTCGTCTGTTGTTTTTCTCAGATAAGCGATGAGTTTCTCAGTGATGACGGTCACATTTGAGGGATTGGTCATCTTGTATAGGAGATCTAATGTCTGTAGAGAGAGAGAGATAGAAAAAAAGCACAATTTAAAAACAAAAAGTTAATATTGTATTTTTGACCAAAATTTTCATCAGAATCAGCTCAAACATTCTAGATAGCATAATCAAGGTCAACAATATGCATTGGAATATGCAAAAAATGTTGAAAAAAAGCACATGTAAACAGTAGTCTACGGTACTTCAAAAACCAGTAATTTTCATAGTAGTAGTTAACATTAACCTTTCTCTTTAAAGTCTCATCCGGATCATCCAAGCACTCTATGACTGTCATTTGATGGTTCAGAGCATACTTTGGTTCGATGAGTACCAAAGCTGCTAGTGCCGTTATACCCAAATACTTCCAGTTGTTACTCGACGACACCAAAAACCTTGAAATGGTGTTAGCTGCTTTCTGTATGAGGGACGGTTTAGGATAGATTGAAGAGATGGTTCTGATACACTCGTACGTAATCGCTTGAATAAAACAAAAGAAAATAAAGATTAATCAAATACACATTATAAATCAGTTACAGCAATAGCATGGTAATAAAGAAGTACTTCATGCAGCAAAATAAGATATACCTTGTCCAATATTTGATGTGCATTCAGCAGAACCAAGTGTTGCCTCTATAACATCATAAACATCTTCACTTATCCTACAAAATTAGCAGAGACACTTCAAATTGTATAAACTTTATTATTATTATTAATATTATTATTATTATTTCCAAATTGATACAACAATAGTTTATCTCTTGCCATTTCACCACCCCAAGCATATTCATAATATGGCATTAGAATTAGATTAATTGGAATAACTCACTTGGCGTCATCAGTCCCCAGTATTGCTAGTATCCTTAGTATGCGTATCTGTATCCAGGGGGCCGGAACCGAGTGATACTCAAATGTTTGCGGGAGACGTCGGCTAATAATCTGTGAGAGAATGCTCTTAAAAGCAGGGCAGAGGTCTTTATAAGCACTGGGGTTACCCTGTGGAGAGAGAGAGAGAGAGAGATTAAGAAAGACTGTAATAAAAGCGTAAACTAACCTTTATCATATCATGTAGGAGGACTACGGCAGCGTCCATCACGCCAGGGTCAGGGTCAGAAAGAGCCTGACGAAACTCTTCCAATAAATGCCCAATACTGTCAGAGGAGCAACGATAGAAATGATGCATTGCTAGAATAGCCTTCTTCCGAACAAGCTCCCTATGAATTATAGCAGAGCTAAGTTACTAAGAAAACACAATGTTACCAGCTTACTTTGGATGGTGCATTTTCTCTCGTACTAGAGGGAGAAGGGGCGGTACCATTTCTTCGCCAATGAGTCGGCATATAATGATAAGAGCCATTGAGACTTCAAGCATATTAGAACTGCGAAGATCCTACATACAACAACGTGAAGAGATTCCTCATTAGCTGTTGTTTACTTTGCTCATGATAAAAGCTTTCTTAAAATCACATTTTCTGGGCTACTCATCTTATAATAACACAACTCTCTTTATTAAGTGTGTCTTAATGTGCCATAGCATTCATAGGAAATACCCCTCCCATTAACACTTTACTACACTGCAATGCTGATAAATACAGTACAGTAAAAATACTGCTTGTGTACATAAACTTTTGTGACTAATAAACTTATAATAAAAATAGCACATCCTTTTTATAGGCATGATGCCATGTTTTTGCTCTTGAGACAAGGACAAAAGTATACGTAACTATTAAACTCACTCTCTGTAAGCTGTTTATCAGTAACATGTTTAGCTCATGGTTAGGATGCAAGAGAAGAGATGAGGCAAGATACCCTAATAGAACAAAAATAAATTATAAATAAAAAACAATTAATATAATTAGTATATTTTTAAAAAACAATTAATATATCATACTACATCGACTATAAAAGTGCTATTATGTTATGATATTAAGCAATCTTTTTTAATATAAAGTATTTCAACTTATAGCGGCTAGTTTGTCCCTTACCTATTCTTTTGTCTGCTATGTTAGAGCTCTGAGTGAATTTGACGGCATGAATGTATCCCCAGGAGCACTCCACCCCCAACATCTCACAGTATATCAGTCGAATCAAATACTCTCTCATTTGACGCTAAAATAAAGAAAATAAATAAGTACAGTGTACTAACTTGATTAAAAGAAATGAAAATTAATGATAGAGTAGCTGATAATTAATTGAGTGAGCTGCCAGACAGGGTTAAAGGAATAAAAATATTTTGAGAAATAGTCTTCACAAATTAAATTTGTGATTCTCGAGCAACAAACGTTTCTTTAAAGAAATTTATAGTCAATAATTACTTGCCTCATTAGCAAGGTACATACCCAATATGTACATGTACATGTACACATATCATTAAATAATGAACCTACAGTGTTGGTGTCTCTTGATCCCAGCTTCTCTTTCAAAATGACCGCCTCTCTCTTCATGATACGATCCTCCTCGTGTTTCGTCTTAGCCTCTCCGATGCTCCTCACGAGCTGCTGGAAGCTCTTAGAGGCACCACTCCCTCCACTGGACGGGGCTAGTTGAGCTAAAACATGAACAGTCTTTTGTATCGTATTGTCCATAGCCAATCCTTTGGTTGATCAAAGAGAAAAGATATTATAATATAATCATGCATGGGTAGATAAAATTTGAGCCCTAAAACTTCAACAACTGTATCATACACCATAAAATCTCCGTTTATTTTTGCTCACAATTATTTATTTCCCTATCTCTATATATAATCTCTTCTCTGTATCTTACTGGTGTCCCTAGATATAATGGATATCTCTTCTTGGATTTCAGCAGCTCACTGAGCTCAGTCTGGGCTGGGGGTGTGGCTGGTTATGGTCACGTGACGTTAAGTGGGTGTGATTTTACTTAACCACGCCTACTCTTTACTGTCTCATGGCATTCAAAATAATTATTCTTAACAAAATTATATCTGCTACCATTGTAGTACTTGCAATTGACAAATGAATTGGTACACTAGTGTAAATTATTGTTTTTAGTTTGCGTGCCAGTTTCAGTTAGTTTTTGACTTGTAATTCCTGCAAAAAGACCTCAATAGAACAATAGATAGAGTCTCAATTCTAAAATTAAGACCAATACGGCATATATTGTAGAAGAAACCAAAATCGAATTAGTCAAGAATTGTCCCACCATGTCTTACCAAGGGCTAGGTAACAAGATTTCCACCTCTTCTCCAGAATGCAGGGCCTTGATCAATCGTGGCATGCTCAGTTCTTATGGGTTCAAGCGTGAAGAAGCTATCATTTGCTTTAAGAAGGCACTAGAGATAGACAGCAACTGCCCCATTGCTCATTGCTTCATTGCTTACAATAATGCAGCAGACTACAACAATCCTTATGGCTTTGATTATGGAGAAGGTTACAAGGAGTCACAGAAAGCATTGGAAATTGCCTCCAAAATGGCCTCAATTCCTGCCTGGGAGTTGGCAGTGATAGAAGCACAGACACACAGGTTCTGCTGGCCTGTGGGCTCAAAACCAATGGATCAACTTCACAAAGATTATGCCAAAGTGATGCGTGAAGTATACAATAAGTATGGTGAAAATGACACTGATATTACGACTCTCTTTGCAGAATCTCTGATGATGCTTGCCCCATGGGCCCTCTGGACCAAACCCCCAAACATCAAACCTGCAGCTGAAGAAACAGAAGAAATAGTTGCAACTTTAGAGAAAGGTCTTGAGATTGATCCCGTCCACCCAGGGCTTGCTCATTTCTATATCCACGCAATGGAGCTTTCTCCGACACCCGAAAAGGCACTTCCAACCTCTGACCTCCTCCGAGATAAATACCCTGATCAGGGTCACCTATTACACATGCCCTCTCACATTGATATGTGGGTAGGACAGTACAAAGAAGCCATTGAGACCAACAAAGCAGCTATAGTCTCTGATGAGGCATACAAAGCAAACCGAGAGGCTGAAATTGAAATGTATGACATGTATCGAATACATAATTACCACTTTGCTGTTTGGGCCGCTATGTTTGATGGGCAATACACTGCAGCTATGGAGCATTCTAAAGGAGCTGAAAGGCAGCTTGGATTTGACGTGGTCACCGCTACAGTTGATGGAGCATCTTTTGGCCCAATTTGGATGGAAGCATTTTTATCTCTCCCTTGGCACGTCCTTGTTCGTTTTGGGAAATGGCAAGAGATTATTGATAGACCTATGTATAAGGACAAAGATATCTATGCTGGAACAACAGCTGTTGCTTGTTATGCTCGTGCAATAGCTTTTGCTGTTTTGGGCAAAGCAAATGAAGCTGATGTGGAACGAGCAAATTTCTACACAGCTTTGAAGAACAAAGCACTTGAGGGTCGTCGTCTTTTTAATAATCCGATGCACGATCCAGTTGCAAAGAATGGTGTACTTGATGTTGCCGAGGCTGTGTTGAATGGGGAAGTTGAGTACCACAAGGGAAACTTTGATGAGGCGTTCAAGTGGCTAAACACAGCAGTAGAGCGTGATGCTAATCTTGCTTATGATGAGCCATGGGGATGGATGACGCCAGCAAGACATGTATTGGGTGCTTTGCTGCTTGAGCACAAAGAGGCAGCTAAGGCTGAAGAAGTGTACCGTGAGGATTTGAAGCAATACAAGAATAACATGTGGTCACTCTTGGGTTTGTATCAAGCTCTCAAGGAGCAAAAGAAAAACGAGAAAGAAGCAGAAGAAGTACTTCATCTATTCAAGGAAGCAAGTGCTCGCTGTGATAAAACAATCAATGTCGGAGCTTCGTGTTTGTGTGCTACCAAACTATGCAGCAAGTAATATTTCTTTACTATGTGGGACACCACCATACTATGGTAATTAATTTAGTAATATTATTATTAAGATTATTAATTTTAATTTGATTTAATAATTGATTTACAAGGTAGACAGAGAAAATTAACAGAAGAGAGGAGACACAAATATTAAAAACACCTTTTTAATAATCAGCAAGAGCTGCTGATTATATCACGTGATCTATGGCATATCCCACGTGATCCTGTCAAACCCGCCCATTTTACTCCCAAAATGGGCACTTCTGCAGAAGTGTTGTCTTCTGCTAGACTTTTCCTTCTCTTACTGCTTTTATGGACTGTCAATGCAGAGAAAGGATCTGTCTTACCAGCTAATACCCAATACGAGGCTGGGTATATTTACAAGTATCATTTCAATAGTGATGTCTCACTACATAGCAACATCAGAGCTGCAACAAGTCTGCAGGTTAGTTTTGTACTAGAATTAATGTTAACTTAAAAATATTCGTCATGTCTTGATGCTTGTATGAAATATCAGCCACTATGAGTTTTATTGTGCATCCAGCAATATTGTGAACACTCCATTGTGTTTCTGTCTGTTTATCATGTTGCTAAGAAATGGATCATTATTCATTGCAGATTATTATTATTCATTAGTGTATGAAATGCATTAATTTATGTTGCTTGCATTAGGTCGATTTATTGGTTTTATCTGAGAAGGATCAAGTGCAGCATCTTGCCCTTACATTCTCTAATTTGAATCTAACCTGGCATACATCAGACAGTAAGTATCATTTGGATAATGCATAGTTACTGCTGTTACTATTATGTTAAAAGGTAGTAGAGAAGACCGACCTTTTGAAGATATAAGCAAATGGTATGTGAGCATTAAACTCTTTACTTTAGTCATGCACTTCATTATTGTTTTGTGACTTTGCATTAGGTTTTCTGTTTTTCGAGACTATTCTGGTCATGTTCAAATTATCCAGTACCCACAGGCTGAGAGAGGTAGCTCAGTGTTGAGTATTAAGAAGATGATCACTCAATTGATCTCTATTGAGGATGAGAGCTTTGCTTCTGCTGGTGGTAAGTTATTGAAAATCACAATTATTATATAAAGAATATTTATATAGACTCTTTTATTCAAAATTATGTACTGAATCAGAGTGGTGCCAAGAAAAACTGTAGCAAGGTATATATGCACTATTTAAATTATAATTTAAAATTCTATTTTATTATTTTAGGTGTATCAGTTTGATGCCAGTGGTTGCTTAAAAACTGTTGAGCTATCAGAATATATAATTCAAGATCAATCTAAAGGTTAAGATTCTGTTATTACTATAGAAAAATATAGCTGTTCTCCTATTATAGGGTATACTGGATTTATTGATGGTCTTAAGTCATTTAATAAATTGACTTTGATTGGTAAAGAGCTTAATCAATCTCCACTTCCATCAATACCAGTTAAATTGATGAATGAAACTCTAAAGTCAGCTCACAGCCAGGTCAGTTAAAGCAACATAATGCAGAATTTTATTATAATACTCACAAAACTCATAGGCAGTGGAAAGAGTTCCTTTATCATCAGTATATGAAGGCATCGTTCAGCATCTCTCATGTACATCAACTTCCTCTTTTTGTCAGAAAGAATTGATTAAAAGCTTACATCTTCTTTCAAGCAGAGACCTGAAGCTCCTGGTTAAAAGAATTGAAGGGGTACGTAAAAATAAAATATCCAGCAAATAATTGTATAATAATTATATCATTTATTTCTTGTTTAGTCTTTTCATTCATCATCAGAAATACTAACACTCATTGATGCACTAGTAATGTGTGATGTGTGTAACACTACAGACCTTCTTACCAATACTGTACTGGCTAATAAGAGCCAATCTGATGCAGTACTGCAGAAGACACTGCACTACTTTGCTACTTCAACACTACCTGTAAAGGAAAATACAGTGAGAGTCATCAAAAGTATGATAGATGGAGGAATAATCTCTAGCTGTGAGTTATAACAGTCATGCATCTGGTTGTAGTAATCATCAGGGTAGGAATCAGCTCAAAGTTAGGGAGCATGTTATGTGCATTGGTGAAGTTTGGTTTCATTGCCAACAAGCAAAATCTATTTTTTTCATTGTCACAAAAAATTGTGACAACCAAAGAAACCACTTGTTCCATTGTCACAAAATCCGTGACAAGCAAAAAATCATTTGTTTCATTGTCACGAAATCCGTGACAAGCAAAAACCCATTTTTTCCATTGTCACAAAATCCATGACAAGCAAAAAAACCCATTTGTTTCATTGTCACGAAATCCGTGACAAGCAAAAACCCATTTGTTCCATTGTCACGAAATCCGTGACATGCAAAAAACCATTTCTTCCATTGTCACAAAATTCGTGACAAACAAAAATCCATTGGTTTCATTGTCACTATAAATGCAGGACTTTGGCCCAATTTTTGAGTAACTATAAAAATTCTTTTAAAAACCAAATTTGATTGGAATCAGCCCAAACTTTTTACACAGCATAAAAACATGTATATGTATCAGAAAAAAATTATTGAAATGGTAAATTGACTAAATTCTCTCCTTGTCATTTTTGGTGAAATTTGGCCAAAGTACCCTGCACTATAGTACAGGGTCTTTTGCCCGCATAATTTGAAACTTTTATGCAACATATTGAACAAAGGACATAAATATTTTAAAATACAGTGACCTTATTTCACACCCCGGTGATTCCTGTGAATAATAATTTATTCACAATGATAAGTATGATCTTTTATCGTAATGTAGTGACTAAGAAGAAGGCATTTCTGACACTAGGAGCTATAGCAATGTCTGTAAAAGATGAGACTCCACAACTATCCCGTGACATTGTGGACTATTTGCACAAGTACTTGAATAGTGCCTCTCCATCCCTCCATGATGCTTCAGTCATTGATGGAATTGGTAATGCAGGACACAAGACATCACAGAGCATCCTTCATCATTATGCTAAAAAGGATAAAAGAAGTCATGTTCAACATGCTGCCATAAGAGCTCTTAGACACAATCATGATACTGAGGTAAGAGGAGAATAGAGGAGAATAATTAGAGGATAAAGTATCATTGATCCCTTAAGATTATTGTTGTTTTTACATTAACTACTAGACTGCTGATTTACTCCAAGATTTAGCCAAGGGTTCATCCAGTGGTGTAGTACAACATGCTGCAGTGTCTATGTACCAGAAGCACCATTTGGCCAAGCGAGACATTTTAACTGAACTAAAATCAAAGTAATTATTAGTAACAGCACAAGAGATTAACTACAAAAACATTATTACATTTTCTGATGCCCTCATGCTACCTGATTCTTGAGTTATGAGCATTCCAAAATATGACAATCAAGAAAATATTTTTGTATTTAAAAATGTCGATAACTGCCTTAATTTATTATCATTTGTACCATTAGGGTTCAAAGGTCACGGCGTAGTGTTGCTGCTGCTGCTGATGCTAGTGGAGTATACAATACCACAATGCCTCCAGTTCACTGGAGCACTGCCTTTGGAGATGATAATATTACTATGAATATGGACAGGACCATACATAATCAATTCAGCCTATCTACCGGTAACTCCATGCATACTTTAACATGCATAATGTAATCCACATGTACATGTACATATATATAATCATTTCCTTAGTCCATACATGTATATGGACATTACTGTTTTGATACAATGCACATGCTTTTATCCTCAGCTACCGTTTCTCTCAATGTTTTCCTACATGCACATGTACATTTGTATTTGACTGCTGCGTGCTGACTAGATCATAAACTTTACTATGTTGATGTCATTATGTGTAAACAGTCATGTGGTACAACAACTGCCAATTCAGTTTTGGCTCTTTATTGTCATTTATTACAATAATAGTCTATTGTTTACATTTTGTTATCTCATTTATGCATAATTACAATAAAATGATTGATATACATTTAGATTAAGTGTTGTGTTTATTCTTATCTTTTTACTGTTAGACCCATATTCAACTAACTATGTACTATCAATGAGAGATGAGACTTCATTTACTGTTGATCTCCAGCTATCCTCTGGCATACAGCACAATCAGTTTCTTAGAACTGAGCTCTGTCTTGATGGCAGAGTATCATACAGCACTAACATGCTAACAGTACGTCAAGCAAACATACTTAATGATAATCTACATGTACATACATACATACACAGAACAAGTTTACTTATAAATCCATTGTGGACATGAACTATTATTATTATCATGTTTGTATAGGATTTCACTATTTTCGGCATTAGAGATCAGCACAGCCAGTTCATGGTTGTTATTAATGATCTGATACAGAAGTTCTCTCTTGCCTATGATGCCTTTGTTTCATCTCAGTCAACTTATTCGTCTGTGACCTCAAGGTTTTCTCCTGCTCTCACGTCAATTGAGTCATCATTCAGTCAATCATCTGAGTATCTCTCTCAGTTTCATTTTTCCATTGATTCGATCTCTGATGGTATCAGATTCAAGAATGATATTAATGATCTTTCGCTGATACTGAATTCAACACTGAGCAATATTATGATCTCATATACAAGCACTAAGCAGGTAAGTTATTCAAAGTCTCTTGTTAAAACAATAAAGAATACAATAATAAACTTTTGTAGGCTCTACGTGTACATGTAGTTCTACACTACTATACTTTTACTATATACTACTATTAGTTATATCAAGAGTACACAATGTACTCTTGTTAATATTAACATGTATTTTAAACTATAGTGTCTTGTTATTGATAGTGTATACTAAAAGGGCGACCTTGTGTGTAGTATTGTTCTAGAGGATATGGCCTAGGCTGGTAGACATGAATAAACCGTAATCCTGCTTCTTTAACTGGAGGGACAGTGATGTTATAGCAACGAGTTTTATTATTTGGCTTCACTTCACAGGCCAAACCATCAGTGATATCATCTTCTGATTCATTAACGATAGCTTTTAGTTCTGGCAGCACACTTTCAGGTGCTGCAGGGCCACCAGAAATATCCCGACACTCAACAGTAATAACTACATCAAAAGTGAACTTATTTTGACGATGCTTTAAGTAAGCAAAGTTCTTGACACTTGGTGTACTGTAGATTTTCCCAAACATTTTAGCAGGAAGGTCATCATTGCTTGGCTTCAAATACAGCTCATCATCATCTGCTGGTGATAAGTCAAAGGTACTGTAGCGGTCATGAAGGTAATCTAGTCGTTGCTTTAGCTGAGTCTTAAGAAACATAAACTCAGCTGGATTAGCAGTAACAGAGAAATCTTTAATGAACTCCAAGCTTTCTTCCAGTGTGTCTGTTACACGTTTCAATACTGCCTGATGATCATCAATCTCTTTCTTTTTGAGGTCACAGATAAGATTAGCTTTAGCTATTGCTTCATCTCTCTCAACGGTTAGCTGTTCCACTAATTGATTGTATCTTTCATTAAGAGCAACAATAATATTATCACGCTTTGTTTCCAAGCTCCTTTTGACATTTTCTCCTCTATTTTCGGCATCTTTAAATGTGTCCTTCAACCTCTTCACTTTCTGTTGTTCTTCTTCGCTTTCCTCACGAGCATGCGAATAACATTTCTCAACGTCAGTAACAAGACAATCGGTGCTACGATGATAAATGGTACAGCATTTATGGCACATTAATTCACAATGAGTGAGACAATACATATCTACGAGATGCTTACGATGCTCAGAACAACGCCACGTTTGACGATTCATACCTTCCCACCAATTTATCTCAGGATCAATTTTAATAACCTGATGATCTTCTGTATCTTCCTGCCTTCTGTGTGCTTCTCTGCAAAAATCACAAAGAGGAATATTGCCACATTCTTTGTCATTACAGATCCACTTGGCAGTATCCTTCTTGCACTTCTGACACTCCATCTTTCCTTGAGATAGTTTCTCTTTAAGCTTAGCTGCATGAATGATATTAGACAATGGCCTGCTAACTGAATCCTCACAATCGCCTATCTCACAATCATGAGGAGCTGTCAACTTCTCATTTCCATGAAGCACATACTTTTTTTTAACTTCCTGAGCACCAGCCTCCCTTTCTCTTTCTCCTTGATCCTCATCTTCTGACAGCATTCTTTCTTCATCCTCACCTTCTTCCTCACCAGCTCTTTCTCCTCCTTCTCTTTGTATCACAACATTACTCTGTATTGATGCTGATAGGCTATCTCTAGCTACAACTCTTTCTTCTCTTCGATTTCTTTTTTTCTCACCAGCTTTTTTACTTAGACAATCAGGGCAATGTATATGAAGGCAGGGTAGCATGATAGGATCGACATAGCTGTTATTGCATTCCTTACACTTGAGGTGTCGTTGACAGAAAGTTTCTACATCAAAACTGGATCTATTGATGGAAGATCCCTCTCTCTCGATAGCTGGTTCTTCCAGTGCTGCCATGTGATTGTAAGATTGCTATATCTTGTAACTTGTAAGGCAAAAACAAAGGAGATGGAAGGCTATACAGTCTACTAACAATTAAAACAAAGGTTGATTGTTATTAGTTTTATACGGCTGCGTTAGTTGGCAGTCAACCACTTTCACTTCCTATAGCTGGAATCATGTGATTACTATCATGAGCAATCCCAAGGGAATGTCTGCTGCACCATTTGTAGCTAGCTAACTGATCCATTAGACCCATGTACGTAATGTAATATTCAGTGTGTGGTTTATCATTACGGGAAGAATGTAGACATTATGGGGCTCAGCCCCCGAGCCACACTATTGTTGTGCTATGTGTCATGCAGTCTTTATATATTGACATATTATACCGTCATTAACTCATGCTACATTATGTGTTCCTCTATTTCATTTTACTCCTTTATAAATGTATTTTGCTATTCCATTAGCAGGGGCGTATCCAGCAGGGGCTGAGGGGGGCTTGAGCACCCCCCTCATGGCTGGGCTCAGAAAAAATTGATCAAATCCTGGACTTTTGCATCACTACCAAGCCTCTTAACAAAGTTATCTAGCCCCCTGATCATTATTTCAGCAGTTTCCAGTGCTTTCAGGAGCAATCAGAAGTTGTCAAAAGTACTAGATGCTTGAAATAATTTTGACCCCACCCGTAATTCACGAAAATGAAGGAAAACGCCGTTTTACCGCCGCAAAAAGGGGTGTGGCCAAAATTGCGGCGCTTCGCGCGCCCTCAGACCCCCCCTTTCCCCATTTCTGGATACGCCCTGAATTAGATCATTTTTTTGCTGAATAGATATAACATTTATTTATAATAGTTGGGTTTTATGAATTTTTAAGTTGTTCAAAAATTATGCCAAAAATGGCAAGGAGAGAATTATCCATATAATTTTTTTCTGATACACATGTTCTTATGTTGTGTATCAATTTTGAGCTGAATCTGATAAAATTTGAATTTTTTATGAATTTTAGAAGTTGCTCCAATTGCCATGTACTCTATTGTAGTGCTTGTCAGCTCATGCTCACTTAGCATGCTTTGTGGGAAACCTTGCAGTAGGACATGTTATTATGTTAAATTGCTTTTAATCTACATTAACTTAAAGAACAATAATACAATATAGCAGCCATTATTATGATCTGGTTTCAATATTATGTCCTCATATGCAGACACTAAGCAGGTAAGAATTCTGCAGTATTTTGAATACATAAAGAATAAGAGTTTATTATATTCAAAAGCTTTTTGTTTCAACACATTAAAACTAATTAAAACTATTATACAGAAATTCTATGTGCATTATACTGCTATTGCACTAATGGCAGCAGTAGTATACAGTGCACAATCTACTACTAGATCTACTAATAATATTAACATGCTATTGTTTATTGTTTAAAGTATCTTATCATTCATAGTGAACACTAAAAGGGCCACCTTGTATGTAGTATTGCTTTTGAGGATGTGGCCTGGGCTGGTAGATATGAATAATCCTTAATCCTGCTTCTTTAATTGGAGGGACGGTGATGTTATAGCAACGAGTTTTATAATCTTGCTTTAGTTCACAAGGCCAGACCATCAGTTATATCTTCACCTCGTGTAGTAATGACAGCTTTTAGTTCTGGCAACACACTTTCCGATGCTGCATGGCCACCAGAAATATCCCGACATTCGACAGTAAAAACTGTACTGGCATTGAGCTTTTGACGATGCTTTGAGAGTAGTGCAAATTTCTTGACACTTGGTGTACTGTAGATTTTCCCAAACATTTTAGTAGGAAGGTCATCATTGCTTGGCTTCAAATACAGCTCATCATCATCTGCTGGTGATAAGTCAAAGGTACTGTAGCGGTCATGAAGGTAATCTAATCGTTGCTTTAGCTGAGTCTTAAGAAACATAAACTCAGCTGGATTAGCAATATTAGAGAAATCCTTAATAAACTCCAAGCTGTCTTCCAGTGTCTCTGTTACACGTTTCAATACTGCCTGGTGATCATCAATCTCTTTCTTTTTGAGGTCACAGATAAGATTAGCTTTAGCTATTGCTTCATCTCTCTCAA